TAAACTTTAGGATTAGTTTCGAAGGAACTAGGAGGCAAGCGAGTTTGTTAGTAGTAATACATCTAGTTGGTACTCTAATTCTATAGCTCACTGGCCCACTACATTTAGAGAATTTCAATGGATTTGGTGTTCAGGTTTCCATATTTTATTTTACAATATAAAAGGAATATAACATGGAGCAGTATGAAGCTGCAGGTTTTCTTAATACATTGAGAAAAGATACTCAATACAATACAATGGAGCGAAGGGAATATCCTGCTCTAACCAGTTGCAGTTTATGTTGTTATAAGTCCCTTAAAGTGCCATTTTTTCCCTTAAACGTTCCTCAAATGTCAACACATTCTTATTTCCACAATCGCACACAAGCTTCTCGATTTTGGTCAACACAAGAATAGCGAACTCGGGTAACTGATTGATGCCGCAAAAGTAGTACAGTAGTATACTATAGCAAACGATAATATTGTATTTATTTTGAACACTGTCTTCAAGGCAGTTAGGATTACTGGAAAAAATTGCTTCTTGGTTACTCGAGCACCTACGTCCTTATACAATAATAAAATTGGGGCATTAATCAGACATTACCTGTGCCCGATTCTTGGCTTAGTACCCCCTTCCTCTGCCATGAGATGTCAAATATTAATTGACATAGCTAGTTGCACGGTAATATTATATATATACGGGTTTTCATGTGCTACGAACAGCGAATGGCCTGAAACGATAAACTGCAATTCCTGTTTATCGTGTACAGCAGTTAGTTACATAGCTTAGCCAAAGCGGAATTTGCTAGGTTTCATGAATGGTGAGTCAGTCTTTGAAGAATTCAGGAAATAAGTAACATGAATTTTACTTGTTTCGGGGATAGATGTGTAATTACTATTTCTAATACGCAAAAGATTACCCATAACTCTCCTTCACAACGTTGGCTGCTGTGATAACATTTATAATACACTGAATTACCGGATGTTAAGGTCCTAAGGATTATTTATGAAAGAATTATTAATATATACCGTCGGTAGACATTCCCTCGCAATTTAACAGCGTCTACCCCTAGTCAGGTTATCTGCTTTTACCAAGTCTGCTATTGGCGTTCCGTTGCTGTTACTACTACTACTGTCCCCGCTGCTACATAAATTAATAATATAACTACCTTCCCTCTCCTTCAAAAATTCACTTCAATCCTCCCTTTATCCTTCCCCCCTGTTACTAGCCTATATGTTATGTTATGTATGCCTAAGTTTAAAATTTACCTACCAGCCCTGGTCAGGTCTATAGTAAATATCGAAAATTGGGGAAATCTAATGCCCTAACAAAGATGGTTTTTGGTAATAATCTAAACACTTATTTAATATCCTAAGATGAAGGTTCCGCGACTAACCTTAATTCATAGTTTCTGTATCCTAATTATGGCTTTACACCACAAGCGGTTTATGTTAGTATCCTAGCAAAAGAAATCCGCCAGTAAATATAAAGTTTGCCAAGCTTAGTTTTAATTGATTTTGTCCTCCGGAGATCTCACTGCCATGTGTACCTCCCTTAGTCCATTGGGTAAAACAACTGCTATTGATTTTTACCACTAAACATATTGATTTATGGAGGTTTACATCAGTTACCAGTATTACTCCTATAGGGAAGGTGTGGCAGTAGCCTAACCATGCTTGACTTCCACCAGCTAAGGAGTTGTTACCGTCCTTTACCGGTACTATATAATATGTACTATTGCCGCCGTCCTTAGTTCAGATTCTACGGCACTTTCCAGTTAGTGATGTCAGTAATTATTATCAAAGTAACACATTTGACATAAGAACATACTCTGCTGCTCTTATTAGTTCAGGATCTACAATACACTGTCGACCTCTATTTGAGGGAATTAGCATCTCTCCCTCAATTTGTGGATCTATAGTACTCTCGTATTTAGTAAAAAATAATATGTCAATTACCGTAAAGTAATATTGCATTTTCTGAATATTTATAAATCCACTCAACATTCCGATTTGGGGAAAATTAATTAAATTTCCAAAGCACATGTATTTCCCGTGAAGAAGGATGTGTTAAGGCCATTTTATGTTTTCTCTACTATCCCCACTTAAACAACGGGGTTATGGTACACCACTAAATGGACAGATGAAATGAAGAAGTTGGAGGAGCTCAAAGGACGGAGTCTGAGACAAATGACTGTGGAATCATACGAGGGTTTCATCCAGCAGTGGATGAGGTACAGTTACCAGCTAAAGTCCTCCCACAACTCGCTACACAGGGCTGTGGGAGAACTTTTGCTGGCAACTATACACTGTACTGCATTGGTAAAAACTAATATTATTTAACGATATAATTTTCAACAAATCATAAATTTCCGGAAATTTACAATACTGTACTGTGTGTGTTACAACAAACTAATCACTGCTGGTACTCATCCATGTAATTATACCTAACAAATCTATTCGGAATTTGACGATGAAAGCAAAAACTAGGATTGATTACACTATTACAGTAAATTATATCAATAAGGTTAATATTTCCTTATTATTTCAGTTTTAAAAGCAAATCAACGACAACCAATTAGTCTAGACTACGGCTTCATCAACAGGTGTGTGTGTGTGTGTGTGAGAGGTACTGCAGGGTATCATGTTCCTAAGACTGTTTCATGTTTCAGGGACTTAGTTTTTAATTTTTCCTTTAGTTGACGTGGTTCAAAATAATTTTTTTTAGGGTTTAATTTGCGGAAACATGCACGCGCCTGCCGAAATGTATTCAATAAAGGAAATAAGATCCGTTGTTAACGTTATGTTATAACTACACTCCAACGGGTAAGGTCTTTAAGTGTGAAAATGGTTTTAGTAATTACACTACCTGTAGTTCATCCACAATTAAAAGTTGTCATATAACTACCAGAAGACCCAAAAATCTCCATCTCCCTTTTAAAGGCCATAATATGGTCGCAAAAAAAGAAGCTATTTCAAAAATCATTTACCAAACTTTACAACAGCTATTTATCCAATATTAATTATCTATGAAAATATCTGTGTTCCGGGTAATAATTGTATTCGGCTATCATGAGTTATGTTGCACTGTCACGTTTCCTCGTGTTACATTATATGATCTAAATCAGACCTTCTATATTTATACTTAGCACTAAAATTCAAGTAGAAATTTGTTAGTTCTGCAACACCTTAACATTGCCAGAGTTGAAATAGTCTCATCAAAAGGCTTCCTTTGCTGTTGTAATATTAATAAAAATTATATTTCACGATATTGTGAACATAATGGAAAGCAATCAAACCTCAAATTAGTTACACAGCAAAGAAAATGGAAACAAATTAAATGATTTCTCCTGCATACGAAATATTATGCAAAACACACAATAAGTTGAACTTTGTCACACCCCTTTAAACTTCTCGTTAACACTATAATTATCGCATTACCTCAAAAAATTAAATATTTCATACAAATCTAAGTCATTTAATAGCTTTCACAATATATCTTGCAAAATATTCCGCTCCAAAAACCACTTGGTGTTTACTCCCCTCCCCCCGGAAAGGGAATTATTTTTTCAGCCTATTCATCGCTTTAACCTTCCTTCCCTAACTAGCCTAAAAGAAGGCCTAATTTTAATTTATAACCAACGCGTAGGTACATTCAACATAAACGTTAATGATGTTTAACCTGTCACCTAAACAGTTGAAGCGATGAAATGACAATCATACTAAAACATAGGAGAGAACTGTCTTGTAACAACCAACCAGCCTCCGTCTCCTATCTCAACTCCGTTATGATAAAAATACCCCCCCCCCTTCCCATCCGTCCGTCATCCACATCCAATCATCCGGCGAGCCAGCAGCCCCAGGATGATAAGGATCGTGGCCCCCCTCCCTGGTGGGTGATAGTGATCTCTGGGCCGGATGGACTGGCCGATAAGAGAGGGACGGCCTGATAGCTGGCTGGTGGGGCGGGCCAGTGCTAACTCCACTCGTCTGACTCCATGTTGGTTGGCTGCACACACCACAACCTTTAAAGATTTCTTCTCTCTATCTACTAAGTGTACATAAACGTTATGAACGATATTTTAATGATATCTGTTAGCGTTTAATTAATAAATAAAATTAAAAAAAAAACTAAAACTATAAATATATCCAGTAATATTTTACCTCGATAAGCTACGCAGTTTGATTTCACGCTGGTATAAGGTATCCTATTTAATTTACCTTATTTTTACACATGCTAACAAACTATTTTTAGTGGACACTGATAATAAACAATACCCACAGGTGATTTCTTGACCATTTAGCAGCATCACTTACGATATCGCAACGTACAGCACTTCCAGATGTAGTCACACCATGAGCCATTATCAAAATTTCCTGACAATCAAAACATAGAAACACAATTACGCAACACAAAACAAATACATCACTAATATCAAGGAAGAACAAGCCGCACATGTTGCAGCGCACAAACAGATCGTATTTACTTTTACGATCAAAACCTCGTATGAACACTATTAACACAACAAACAGACACGGACACCCAACACTTACTTTTCAGTGGTTTAGGATTACTCTGTTTCCTCCGCGACATTGCATATGGATTGCTCAAGTTACAAAATGCCCCACGAACACATGACACAGTCCACACTTAACAACTACCAACACACATCTGGCGGGAAGTTTGGGAAAGTTTCAAATCCCCGCCCATCGTGACGTCATCAATAATCTCCGCCCCTCTATATGACGTCATAATTAAGCTCCGCCCCTCTACATGACGTCATAATTAAGCTCCTCCCAGTCTTTATGACGTTTACAGCTCAATAGCCATTGGTGGATTCAGGGTAAATCTTAAATCATCGTATCTCACTAAATATTATTAATAATATGCTGAAATACGACTTAAATAGTCCTTAAATATAATTATTTCAACCCATATTCCCGAGTGTCCGTAAATATTGAGAAATTAGATATTTACACACTCATGACGTCATATAGAAACAGCATCGGGTTCAATGACGTCACAGTTACCTCCGCCGTCATGTCCCACGCCATCTTTGACGCCCTGCCAGGTATTTTAGACTTTTATTATCGTTTAGTAGCCTTAAAACATACGTGTAGAAACTCACCCGTTATATGAATATACCATTGACGTCTGAGCGGGATATTCAGGCTTCCAAGTGTGTAATTAAGAGTGAAAAACAGCCCTTCTTTGTCTCTCTCTTACTCGTCAAGGGAGAGCAGCATGATAGTATCAATATATACTTTACACTTTACTTTGTATCTACTTTTGGATGGTTTACTTCATTGAGCGTGTCATTTCAGCCACCGCCAGTGTACGAGTTGGATTGTTGCTGCTCATGTTTATCTTAAGGATAATTTTAGGGGTGAAACCAGCGACGGGAAAAGCCAAACCTCCCCGTTATAATGGCGAGCCAGGCGGTGGTGCCAAGTATGCTTCCTTATACAACAAATAAATGTTTCTCTATCCATTATAGTCATAAATCATTCATATTCAAACATAAATATAAAATTATAACCTATTTTTATCTGTAAATTATCACTAGAGTTTTATTTGTTGTAATTAAAGTTAACGAGTGATGGAAGTATGGCATTGGTTGCTGATTACTTGTTGCAATCACAAAATCATTTAAATCTGTAATACAGTATTGTAGTATATTCTATATTTATTAAGAAACCTTTAAATATGTTGTAGTATATTCTATATTTATTAAGTAAGAAACCTTCAAATATGTTGTAGTATATTCTATATTTATTAAGTAAGAAACCTTCAAATATGTTAACCTGTTGAAGATAGCTTATAGATTTTATCAGCTCGTCATGATATTATGCCTAACTCTAAGCTTGTTATGATTGTTAAATGTGGTGATAAGAAATACTGATAAAACATTAATTACCACAGTGTACAGTATTATAGGTTAGGAACGTATAATGGTTGTTTTGTAACATGTTGATAACTTAATATGAGAAAATTTATCAATGAGAATTATTTAGTACCTATTGATGTAACTACACAAACCTCTTTAATATAATACTGTACACAAAATTATGTGAGTACAGTACTGGCTTTCTAAATGAAGGTTAAAGACGAGGTGAAATAATTACATTACTTGTTAATGATATTGTTACTGTAAGCAAACTTTAATGCAATACACAGACACACACACATTATATATATATATATATATATATATATATATATATATATATATATATATATATATATATATATATATATATATATATATATATATATATATTGATAAAATCACACGGGGAAAAGGGAAACAACGGAGCACCTTAGCATTCGTCTTTATTCAAGACATCTTCAGAGGCAACTGAAGATGTCTTGAATAACTATATCAATATATATATATATATATATATATATATATATATATATATATATATATATATATATATATATATATATATATATATATATATATAAACAGAAGAAAGAAAGAAAACACAGCAAGCGCTTTGTGTAATTCACCTACAGTGATTTACTTGCATATATATATATATATATATATATATATATATATATATATATATATATATATATATATATTTATATATATATATTTATATATATATTTATACATATATATATGTATATATATATATATATATTTATATATATATATATTTATATGTATATATAAAATGGGATAAACAGAAGTTCAAAGGCAAAAAAAAATCCCAATTAGGATGACTTTTAATTTTTGTGGCTAATACTTAGAAATTATTTCACTCTATATACTAAAAATTTGCATTGTAACATCTCAGTTGTCATTTACTATCATAACAAACAAACTACAGTACAAATATTCTTTACTGGTACTGTACATAAACTAGGCATTGTAAGAGTAGGTTAGGTTAGCAATGATCTTATCCTATTCACCAATTTTGGCTCGTTAGCCGCTTGGGCAGTCGGTCACATCTCTGTTACACTCCACTGTTGGTCAAGTCTGGTCTTGAAACAGTTCACACTGGATGCCATCACAACACCCTGGCAGGCTGTTCCAAAATTTCACAACTCTCAGTTCGAAAACGTTGGCCCTCACAGTTTTTTGGACTTGCACCTACTTCAACCTTGAGCTGTCACCCCTTGTGGGGCGAGCGTCCGCCAGCTCCAGGTAAGAACACTCGACTGAGTTGTGCCCTTTGAGATGTTTATGCACCTCAATTAGGTTCCCCCTTGCCTGTCTGTTGTATAAGCTAGGCAATTGCAGGCTCTTTAATCTCTGGGTGGCGGAAGTGCCGAAGTGCCGGAAACAGTCTGGTGGCCCTCCTTTGGACATTTTCAATCAACTGACAGTCCCTAGCATATCTTGGGGACCAGACCGGGTGACAGTACTCCAGATGGGGAAGCACCTCGTTCTTAAAGATCGTTACGAGGGACGGGCCATCTAGATATCTGAATGACCTTCTTATAAGACCTAATAATTTAGTTGCTTGGTTCACCTTCTAACAATGGCCCAAGAACTTCAGTTCATTGTCAACATACACATCCAGGTCCTTTTCGCATTGTTTCAATTAATACAGTTAATTCGTCCTATTAGGACATATGATACGCCTCCTTACCGTTGGTATGACCCAAGTGCATCCTCTTACACTTCATGACATTAAATCTTAGCAGCCATTTCTTCAACCATTCCTGAAGCTCACATAGATCTTTCTGCAGCTCTTCACAGTCCGCTCGGATCTAAATTTCCCTAAATAACTTGACATCGTCCGCAGCTGTGAAGAGCTGCAAAAACATCTCTGTGAGCTTCAAGAGTGGTTGAAGAAATGGCTGCTAAGATTTAATGTCAGGAAGTGTAAGAGGATGCACCTAGGTCGTACCAACGGGCAAGAGGCAAATCATATGTCCCAATGGGACAAAGAAACTGCATTAATAGAGACCAAATGCAAAAAAGGACCTGGGTGTTTATGGTGACAATGAACTGAAGCTCCTGGGCCATTGTGAGGAAAATGTGAATTAAGCAACTAAACTAGTAGATCTTATATGAAGTTTGTTCAAATATCTACACAGTCTGTCCCTAGTAACGATCTTCAAGAGTGAGGTGCTTTCCCATCTGGAGTACTGTCACCCTGTCTGGTCCCCGAGATATGCTAGGGACTGTCAGTTGATTGAAAATGTCCAAAGGAGGGCCACCAGACTGTTGCCTGCACCCCAACACCTCATACTATAGACAGGCAAGGGGTGATCTAATTGAGAAGTATAAATATCTCGAGTGTCCATACCTGGAGTTGGCGAACGCCCGCCCCACAAGGGGACACAGCTCAAGGTTGAAGAAGCCACAAGTCCAGAAAACTGTAAGGGCAAACTTTTGGGGAGTGAAAATTGTGAACTTTTGGAAAAAACCTGCCAGGGTGTTGTGATGGCACCAAGTGTGAACTGTTTCAAGACCAGACTTGACCAACACTGGAGCAGGTTAAGATATATTCAGGAGCCAGTGCCTGCCACCAGTGCGTAACAGAGATGTGACCGACTGCCCAAGCGGCTAACGAGCCGGTCAGTGGTGAAGAGGATAAAATAAAAAGATAAAAGTACAAATAATATAGACCAGGTGTGGTGAAGAGTGCTTGATTAGAAGAATATTAACTGCATTTAATTTATACAGGTAGACCCCAATTTATGAGGGGGTTCTGCTACTGATAAACCTTAGGTAAACTGAAAATTCATGAATTAAAATATTTTCCCATAGACTCCCATTATAAAAGCTGAGGTACTGTACATTCCTTTGAAGAAAATCCTCAAATGTCTTGAAAGTGCTACAAAACATTTTTTTTTTTTTTTTTTTTGTACAGTACACTGATTATACAATATGCCAGTAATAATCATAAGCAAAATACAATTTATGCAATATGGCAAACGCAACTAAACAAGCGTGTACTGTACAGTGGTGCTGCCATCAAAAAAAAACCCTGTTTGTTCACAAACAAAGTCTACCAGTTGTGTTTCAGGCTTCAGCAAAATTCTTTTGCACAGATTACAAAGTAATAATGTGAGTTGCTCTATGTTTATCGAACACTTATAATGAAAGCCCAAATGTTAAGGCACTTAAAACCTTTAAGAAAGGCAGGTTAAATAAACAAGACAAACAGCCATTTGCCCTATATGTATGCAGTACAGTACATACTGTATATTATTTTGCCTGTACATGGATGCTTATGGTACGAATTAACAAGTAACGCCGGTACAGTACTGTAATGTCAACTGACCAGGTTTGGTGTAGGAAGCCCTGAGATGCCTGCATCAACCCCTCAGTGTCTTGTGATGCTCCAAAAAATTTATGAAATAAAATCTTACCTTCAAGCTTTTTGTTTGTAAACCAAAGCACGGAACCTTTTTTTAAAGCATTATGCCTGACTGGGGCAGTGAGCTACCAAATACAGTATAGACCATACATTACTACACTTGCTTTCCTCACTGATCATTGGGTGGCCTTTATAGCTCATGAGGAAGCTGATATGAGATTGCATTTTACCATCCTATATGCAGTACTACAGTACTGGTATGCCTGTACTGTCCACGGTATAGTGAGGTATACCTTGCTAGGAGTTGGAGGTGTGTTCTTGAAAAGTGCGGCATTAAGTGAAACAATGTAATGAACGCAAGTTTGCCACAAACCTAATGATAGAGATAGGGCTCACATTTTGGGGAGACAATTCTGATAAAAAATTTAGCCAAAATATAAATACAAAAACAATTACAGTACTGTACTGTATTGTAAGTTAAAATAAATATTTAGATATAAAATGTACTGAAGGACAATAAGATAACACTTACCCTAGATGGTAGAGGAAACTGTGTAAAGGCCAGCTGGGGTAGGGAGATGAACCTGAGAAAAGATAAAAATATATGATAAGTTGAATTCATGCTTTTCAGGGATTTTAAAATAATTGTACAATACAGTTACTGTACTGTACTGGGTAATTAAGCAATTTTCCCTCAGGTTTAGAAATTGTTGTCTGTACAGGTAGTACAGTGCATGTACAGTAATTTTCATCTTAATATAATTTTTGCTTAACAAACTTACGAACGCCCACCGATAAGAACGGGGTTAAACTTAAAATTTGCAGTATGCATTTTATATACCTGATGACTTATTTTTTACTTTTGTTTACTGTATTTTGTCATTCTATTTTTTCCTTTCTCTTTAATTAAGTGATTTTAGATGTCTATAATAACTTGGGCTTTGATATAGTGGGATTTTAAACATTGTTTTGTAAGTATGGTATGCACATAGCATGTGTTCCGACTTAAGAACGCCCTCAGGAACGGAACCCCAAGTAACCATTTGTCCAATTGAATACTACTCATGTAATTTTAATTAAGTTGTAAAGTAAGGTACTGTAATGTGTAATACAGTCTTGAATCTCATTATTGCAGAGGTGCAAATGCAACAGTTGCTAGAAGTACCTGATTTGACCCAAAGTACTGTTACCATATCTGGGGGGCCTCCCACTGCCACCTCTACCAGCCACCAGTGTGCTCAGCTCTCCTCAGCCATCACAAATACTAGTATAAGTGAGTATTTGTTATACAGGGCTTATTGTTTTAATTGGGGTAGGCAGGTCACCTTTGATTATCCCAGGGAGATAGCAACCTTGCCTTACCAGTTAAGAGGTCACTTGTAAGTTTTACATGAAATGTTCAATTCATACTTTGTAAAAGTGTTTTGCGTGATGGCAGTTGGTGCACTATGCTATCAGGTAATTACAGCTAACTCATGCTAGTATGGAAAATGGCCATAGGACAGTATTTTGTACTCTGAAATTTGAAATAAGGTTAATAATATACAGCTAGTGGCAACTCTGTCATTACCAGAGCCTCACCAGCAATTGATTCAGGGAATGGAATTTTCTGTTATCAATTGGTCAACCAAGGCGACTGGAAAAGTTCCTCAGTCTTTCTGGCCATGAATGGCAATGCAGAACCATTAGCCCTCTGGGAATTGATGGTTGCACTAAAACATTACCACTGCTCAAGAAACATGACACAGTACAGTAGCTATGTCAGGTTGAAACAGTGTTTGTTATAGTCTATCTGGAAATTGTGCTACTCATAAAACATGGATAAAGTTTGTGCAGGCATTTACATTTCATCATTTTGTTCACAAGCAATAAGATATTAGTGGCAGTCCAGTCATTTTCCAATATTTTCATGATTAATTTACAGGTGAGGAAGTGTCTTTGGACGAAGATGATGTATTTCAATGTGGGAGATGCAAGAAACAGTTCTCATCTCTTCCTTTCTTTATGGCCCATAAACGTGATCAGTGCTCAAGTAAGTACCTTTTAAGTTTACACTGAAGATCAGATACTAAAATGTTTGCCAACTCAAATTTGTCTCATTTTTCCCATGTTTATCCTCCCATTATGCAGGTAGTTTAGTGATAATTAATTTATCTGTATCTCCAAAAGTCATATAAATAGTACAGTGTATAAAAGGTCAACCACCTTCTGTGTGAGGATAAAGTTTTACTGTGCTGAGAATTGAACCCAGGACATGCAGTTCTCACCCGCGAGGCCCAGGTTCAATTCTCTGTACGGGAAAACTTTATCTTAACACAGAGGGTGGTAGACCTATGGAACGGTCTGCCAGTCAAACCTGTGGAGTTATGAACAATACTGGGCTTCAAAATAGCCCTTGACAAAGTGATCAAGAACAGGAGGGATCCTACACAGGCCCCTTTCCCTTAGCATGGCCACCTCCAGTTGGGGGGCCATATTGATAATGACGCAGTTTATTTAGCCACAAAATACAGAGACAGAGTCGATAATAATAACAATATTGACATGGCTGGGCCATTTGAGAGCCTGAGCTCTCTTGTAGGTAAATAAGGTAAAAATATAAGATAAGGTAAAATATGAAGGATGAAAATAAGGAAATATATTGAAAGAGCTGATGCAAAATAAATTGTCATTTGAGGAACATTCCATTGTACAGTAGCAATCAAAACAACCATTTGTTGAGACCTGATCCAGCAAATAATCCCTCTGTGCTTGGCTAGACATTTGTACTGTACTGTGGTTAGTAAAATTGTGTAGGTATACAAATTAAAACATGGATACTGTACTCAAACAAGTAATTCTTCATGTGTAACTGCATCTAAATACAGGTAATGTATTTATCATGTGTAGTAACCACAGAGAAATTATCAGGAATACATATAAACCCATACCACTAAAACCAGGTAATGTCATAGCATTATATACTCTACCGTGTATACTGTATCACCCACATACAGTAGGAATGGCAGGCATTTTAGAAACTGAGGTGCCGTATGGGAATTTCACACACTGAGATACAAAATCGTGGAAATACTCATGATTATAACCACTATCTGAGAAAGTGATGAGAAGTGGCATAATACTGTACAAGACCTCAACCAGAAAAAATATATAAAAAATGTGTAACGTAGGAAAGTTATACAATATTACGCATAGGTAACTGAGCTATCGGAAAGATGTGAGTTAAGAAACGAACTACAGTATATCTTTTTAATATGTCACAATATATGATAAGAATTGGGGGTTGACCGTGGGTAACTGGTAGTAAATTTCACAAAGCAAAAACATTGTCAGTGTTATTTAACACAATGTAGCAAAGGGCAGACCATCAGAGCAAACAGCAGGAGTTGTAATAGGCCATACTCCAGCTGTAGCTGGAGAGGGCCTGAGCAATGGTGATTGGAGCCGGGCAGCCTCGCTGCACAATGCCTGCACAGGATAGAGCAATAGCAGCTATCATCCAAAAAACAATTACCACTGACCCCAGCATCCAACAAGAATTTGGATTGGCCTGCACACCACAGACAATCAGAAACAGACATCACAACAATGACCTCCATGCCCATGTACCCACAATGAAGCCACACCTAACTGAGGTAAACATGGAAAGGTGCCTGGAGTATGTTAGAGTATGCAGAAAAGCCAACTTGTTTCTGGGAGGATGTTGTGTATTGCGACGAGAAGACGTTCAGCACGGATGAGATGACTACTACCAGAGTTTGGCGCAGACGCAACGAACGGTAACAATCTCTCTCCCCCCCCCCCTCACACTCTTTCTCACTGTATTAGAAATATCTATCGCTTAGTTATAGATTCAGGTACTGTAGTTAATTGGAGATATGAAGGAGATACTGTATTAATGGCTGAATGAACCTTTATGTTACACATGTCACGCATCTGTAGTCGCCAGTATTTAGGAAATCCAAGGTAATGTCACGCATGTGGAATCGTCTACCACATAGTCAATACCAGGATGGCAATACATAATTGTCTGTTCTCATCAATCCCTTTTATGCATCTTCCCAGTTATGAAGCCGGACATGTTGTTGGAACCCGAAGATGTGGCAGAGTTATTGCTGGTGTATTCGGATGGATTCACTCAAGCAGTGTAGGGGAGCTGGCAGATGTTGGTCCGGACCAGTTTACAGGGAGGAAATATGACAAGATATTGGAAGAGGTCCTGTTTCCTTCAGTGAAATGCTTGATCTACCCTGAAGGAACCCCATTCTACCTCTTACAAGACAACTCTCCCATACACACGAGTAATCTTGTCAAGAGTTGGTTTCAGAACCATCCACATGTTAGGCTTCTGCCACATCTTGCAAAATCACCAGACTTCAACCCCATAGAAAACATATCAGCAGAAATGGTCAAGACAGGTCGGCTCAACAACATCCCCAGCCGTAGCAGAGAACAAATAATTGCGAATGCAAGGATGATATGGGAGGCACGGCCGGCCAGGCCTTGATCCAGAACTTGTGTGCATCTATGCCTAACTGGCTAAATTGTGTCATTGACGTAGGGGGTGACTACACAAAATATTGATAGAAATAAAATGACAGTCACAAATTACACGTGTTTACCTATCATAGGTTAGGATATTTGAACATATATTATGTGGGAATCAATGAATGCAATTTCTGTGTTTATATACTACGGTTGTAATATACTGTATACAGGTACAGTACCTTATCTTTCATCTTCCATGAATATCAACCTCGTTTTGGGCACCAAAAACATGTTTACCTTAGAATAACATGTTACCATACCAGGCGCGGCCCTTCTACGGCATATCATTAACCTATGCCAGAACCTCATCAGCTTGTCTAACACGTGACTGAGTGTTTACGTCTGTTACACTAGTACTGTACAATAATAAGCATTCACTCAGGCCTTTATGTTGCCAATACCGATCGGCAATGGCAGTTGCTTTTGATATTAATGTGATTATTTAATAAATATAGTTGTATGATGTTAACTGCTCTATACGTATCTTGTAACACATGTGCACGCAGACACACTGGAACACCTTATGGTAAATACAATCTACAGAGTAACTGGCAACTCAGGAAGCCAGGGCTACCAACTTCCGCTTTGACTCTGAGTGTTTTCAGAATAGACAAGTTGACAGTCGGAATTTTTTCGTAAGACGGCAGGTCAATGGGTAAAGAAAACGCTTAAATTCACTATGGTAATGATATTTTAAAATAAATTGAGCCAAAAAGTGTAAAAAAAAATAAGAGTTAAAATATCTAAAAAGTCACGTGACTGCGAAGAGCTCCGATTGGTTGTGACGTAACATATTAGGTCAAGCCGCTGAGCAGGAGTCTGGAGGCAGCCAGCTGTGGAGTGCGTGTTGTTACCAGCAGAAATACAGGACTTGTGGTCATATACAATGTTGATATGCACAGTCATACCTTATTTTTAGGTTAAAATAAATTACTGCTCAAGTATCATCGTGTGTATTTACTTGCTGGCTGCCAAAATGATGCAAAAGACTGATAACTCCAACATGAAAGTTTTTATCACTGTTCTCTATTTCATGTCAGGAAAATGTAAGTTTTCATCACCGATGTCTATATTTAATGTTGTAGAAGGACTAGGGATGGGCTTGAGGTGATCAGGTGACATGTAATTTAATGTGCTTCATAGCTGGATGGCGGAGTTCTTGATAATACTCTACTATCATAAAGACATCTTTTGGTAAATTTCTTTCATCTGCCTTGATGAACCCTGGAAGTAGTTGTCCAACCTTCTCAGCTCTGTAAATATATATTATTAGATAATTAATTGTGCTTTACTGTGCAACACAGTACAGGGTAATACTATTTTGAGTATATAAATATTACTAAGCACATTAACTAATTTAATGGATATTTGCTGCCCCTACTACAAATTTCATAGTATAAACATTCCAAACAATATTGGTATTATTTTGGTTTTGGTCATCTGGGGAACGTTAAAATTCTAACTATGGGATTAAGACACATTATCTTTACGGGATTTTTATCAAAAAACATTTTTCTTTCGCATATGAAAATACAAGTCATAGGTTAGGTAAGTTATATTATAAGTTATAAGATTAGCTTAACATACACCGGTGGGGGGGGTTAGTAACTCAAAACTAGTGATTTCCGATAGAAATGAAGGTCAAAATCATTCATAACACATCGCAAACCATCAGAAAAAACACTGGATGTCTAAGTACGGGGATGACCAAAACTTAAAATTTACCCAATATAGTCTACCTCGAATCTAAGCATTCAAATACTTATGGTAGTTAAAGTAAAATTTTACCCACTAATTAATATAAATGATGATATATCCCAGTGGTTCATTATTGAATCATCAAAACAATAACAGAACTATGATGTCATGTTTACCTAGCATCAGGCATTCTCAAAACAAAGTCCAGACAATGTCAATACTTCTAAATTGACTCGTATCTCCATCTAGAACTGATATACTCTGTAAATGTACTGAAAAAAAAGAAGAGAAAGTCTACCAGGTAAGAATTCATGACAGCTGAACTGGTGTGAACATGGGAGTTTTTACTGTATGTCCAAAACAACCTAAGAATGGAGGAAACTGCAGAGGGCCTATTGGCCCATACTGGGTAGTCCCATTTCCACCCAACCCCTATCACTCGTATATCCATCCAACCTATGTTTGAAGCTGCTCTTCATGGCACATTTCTTCACTTAGGAAATGTCCATGACTTAAGACCATAAAAATACACCCTTAAAACTTACCTGAACATGGCATTTGGGTCTGAAGAGGCCATCCTTTGTTAGGCTCCAACTGCAGCGGTGAGTGTGTTCGAGAGCGTCGTCTGATGGGTAGGTGGTGACGTCATTGCAAATAGCAGCCCTGTTTCTAGAGAAATAAACTTATCTCTACTATTATAGCAGGACTTTAAATTTTTATTACAAATTATATGTACCGTATCACTCTACGAACTTGGCAGAGAGTATTTCTTGTGTTTACCCAGAACCGACAACTCGTCCATTCTTGGTCTGGTGTGTCATACTATTAGGAACCAGTAATGGTGCAGAATAATATTTTCCTGACTGTACATGAACTGTACTGTACTGTACACACGCTCCATAAAAGTATATTTACGATTTTGTGTTAGACAATAAGATACAGTATAGTCTGGATTTACGCGGTCAATTGAACCTGTGGAGGCCCGTGTAAAACGAGAAACTCGTAAATGAAATAACAGAACATATGGGATTACTTGAAATAGAGACTGGGCCGACCCCCCAAACTCCACTTTTTGCCGACACAATACGTACGTTGTAGTAAAAATAACATCTTAATTTTATGATGGTATGCACACATAATTAATAATTAAGAGAAATATCAATAATATTAGGTTTTCTAACACTTACGTTAGTAGAAAAGCTGGGTCGGCACACGTGGATGGCGGCTGGTTCTGAGACAGAGGGCAGATTAGTTGTCCTCCCGTGAATTACCTTCACTTTCACTACTCGCAGAGGTTTGCAGGGCCTCCCAGACAAACCTCTCAAAGTCCATATCGTCACTATCACTATCACTGACTTGGGCTGGCTGTGGTTGTGGTGGGTTGCGGGCGAGGAAGTCCTCAATACTACGTTGACGACTAGCATTGATGTTGTCGAGATAGATCTGGATATATATCCAGATCTATCTCGACTCCATAAATTTCGTCAGATGGTTATTAGACGCTTCATACCGATGCTTGTCTGGGTAGTTGTTAAGGATGAGCTCAATTTTCTCTCCCAACTCGATGATTTCCTTCACACAATCATGGCTTGGTCCAGGTAATTCAATGTTTTCTCTGGTGGTTGGGGTCCCTCGGAAGCCATTGTGAGTTGTGAGGGGAATAGCGGGCACAAGAGAGAACTATATACGCGGAGAACTGAGAACAATGAGACAGGCCCTGCTAGGTCAGCGACTTCTACCCTCTGGTGGCATGGCACGTCATGTTACATTAGACCAATCACAGCTAGCGGCGGAGGGAATGCGTGGGTGGTAAGGATGCGTGGCCCAATCACAGTCCGATACATCATATGACGTCACCGATAACGCAACAGCAACATACTGCGCAACCTTACTCGCGCCGCTTGTGGTCGCCTGGGCTGCTTGAATCCAAAATGGAGCGGCCCGTCTGGACCCTCCAGCGACTCGCCGCGTAAATGACCAAATTTACAGCATAATTAAAGCATTTCAATTCTGGCAAGGCACCGTGTAAATGACCAAATGCGTTAACCAAAACTGCGTAAATCCAGACTATACTGTACAATGGAAGAATGATTTTGACAGCCCTGCCGAGACAACAGAAGCACAGTGTTCATTTTGAAATTCATCGGACCACTCTGTAAAAATATTTTTTGGTGTGTGTGTGTACATATTAATAACTGCTTGTTTAGGTCATATTAATGTTTATGTACAGATAAACATAACATAAGAATGAAGGAAACTGCAGCAGGCCTATTGGCCCATACTGGGCAGTCCCATTTACACCCAACCCCTATTGCTCATATACCCATCCAACCTATGTTTGAAGCTATCCAGCGGATTCGAGTTAATGATGATATTTGGTAACTTGTTCCAGTCATCCACTACTCTATTTCCAAACCAGTGTTTACCTATTTCGCGCCTAAATCTAAATTTGTCTAATTTAAAACCATTGTTACGAGTTCGCTCCTGGTTGGATAGTTTGAGTACCTTTGTAATGTCCCCTTTGTTTAACCCTGACTTCCATTTATACACCTCTATCAGGTCGCCCCTCGCTCTACGTCTCTCGAGGGAGTGCAAATTAAGATGCTTTAACCTGTCTGTACTCAAGGTTCCTAATGCCCGGGATTAGTCTTGTCATTCTTCTCTGCATTCTTTCCAAGGATTCTATATCCATTCTGTAATACGGTGACCAGAATTTAACGGCGTAAGCAGTACAACACATTCTCACGTAAGGTTAGATTAGGATCTTCCTCTCTCCCCTACCCTTAAGGTTTTAATTTTACTTAATGTGGATTTACTAACACATTTATTCAAGAATTTAACCTCCACATTGGACGAGACTCTTAATGTACAGTATCATCATCGAGGGGAAAAATCAGTGAGATAACAGTACTGTGATTATCATTTACCTAATTCTGTTTGACAAGTTAAATAATTGTAACCACAGGTAAAAACGGTGGGCTGCGTGTGCTACAGACAACCCAAGGGGCGCAGTCTGCTTCAGTGACAGACCTAAATAGTTTTGGTGAAAGTGCTGCACTTACTAACCAGATCCATGTGCAAGTCCAACCTCAACAAGCCACAGTAAGTTGATTTTATATATATATATATATATATATATATATATATATATATATATATATATATATATATATATATATATATATATATATATATATATATATATATATATATATATATATATATATATATATTTTATAAAGAATCATATAGAATTCATATTGTTTGTGTATAAAGTATAAATGTGCAATACAGTACAGGGGGTCCCAAACTTACAAACGCCTGCCAATACATACAGTATTTTATTTACCTGATGACTTATTTTTTACTTTCATTTACTGTACTGTCATTCTATTTCTACTTTTGTCATAAATTAAGTGGCTTTAGATGTATATAATGACTTAGGTTATGATATAGTGAGATTTTAAACATTGTTCTGTAAGTACGGTATGCACATAGCATGTGTTCCGACTTAAGAACGTCCTCTGGAACGGAACCCATTTGTAACCCGGGGACCCCCCATACTTGACAATATTCAATGTACAGTACTTAGTGCAGAGTAGTTTACCGGTAGTAATGAATGTTTTCTTTATGTATATTTACCAGGTGTCTGCAGGATATGTCAGTAGTGGTTTGCCCTCCCCTGGTACCACCATCAACCAGCATATTATTGTCAGTGAAGCAGAGTTTCTTCCATTCATTGAAACTACTCAGGTATGGTAGATATAGAATACTGTAATAGTAACTACTCAGGTATGGTTGATATAGAATACTGTAATAGTAACTACTCAGGTATGGTAGATATAGAATACTATAATAGTAACTACTCAGGTATGGTAGATATAGAATACTGTAATAGTAACTACTCAGGTATGGTAGATATAGAATACTGTAATAGTAACTACTCAGGTATGGTAGATATAGAATACTGTAATAGTAACTACTCAGGTATGGTAGATATAGAATACTGTAATAGTAACTACTCAGGTATGGTTGATATAGAATACTGTAATAGTAACTACTCAGGTATGGTAGATATAGAATATAATAGTAACTACTCAGGTATGGTTGATATAGAATACTGTAATAGTAACTACTCAGGTATGGTAGATATAGAATACTGTAATAGTAACTACTCAGGTATGGTAGATATAGAATACTGTAATAGTAACTACTCAGGTATGGTAGATATAGAATACTGTAATAGTAACTACTCAGGTATGGTAGATATAGAATACTGTAATAGTAACTACTCAGGTATGGTAGATATAGAATACTGTAATAGTAACTACTCAGGTATGGTTGATATAGAATACTGTAATAGTAACTACTCAGGTATGGTAGATATAGAATACTGTAATAGTAACTACTCAGGTATGGTAGATATAGAATACTGTAATAGTAACTACTCAGGTATGGTAGATATAGAATAGTAACTACTCAGGTATGGTTGATATAGAATACTGTAATAGTAACTACTCAGGTATGGTAGATATAGAATACTGTAATAGAAACTACTCAGGTATGGTAGATATAGAATACTGTAATAGTAACTACTCAGGTATGGTAGATATAGAATACTGTAATAGAAACTACTCAGGTATGGTAGATATAGAATACTGTAATAGTAACTACTCGGGTATGGTTGATATAGAATACTGTAATAGTAACTACTCAGGTATGGTAGATATAGAATACTATAATAGTAATTAACCTTTTCTCTGGTTTGAGAATTCATCCCAAAGAAAATGTCTTAAATAAATACCTCAGATGTGTCTATTTCTAAAGATCTCTTTCAGGGAATTATTTGTGATGGGAAGGTGTAACTACCAATTAAATTGCAGCCACCAATGTTTAGGGTTACATGTGCTGAATTCACAGACTTAGGGTATTAAATGGGAATTTTCCATGCCTCTTTGCTGGTGGATATCCTGATTTGTAATTTTAGGAATAGTAATTTGTCTAAGTACTTCAACAACTTACAGTATAAGTGTGCATGAACTAGGTTATTTTTACGAGAATTGCTGCAAGTTTGTCTTCCGAGACATTTAAGGACATGCTGTATTGTACTTCATCCGTACAGTATACTTTTTTATGATCTTCAAGGCCATTGCACATCTCCAGGTTCTTAGGACATATTCTCAGGTTCCTGGTGTCCTCTGAGAACCTGGTTAAGAAAAAATAAATATTTAGCTTCCTTAAAGGTATTTTCCCTGTTAGGACTGGCAATGGGTTTTCATGATCCTAAAAAGGATCTACAGTAGTTTTATGCCATTAGGACCTTCACTTAATTGGGCATTAGGCCCATGGTACTGACCTTCACTTATCACATAGATGCAATTGTAAACCATTGACAATAGCTGGCAGAGGTTGGGTGGGCTTCATCCCAAGCATTGCAAGAAACTGAGACTACTGTTATTCCTTAATGTAGCTTTTTTACAGTTATAGATAGTTTTTGCTATTGATTCAACAATGGTTGATTGAAAATTTGCATGTAGCTAAATTTCACAGCCTGACTTCCACCTGCTATAATATTTGATTGGCCATATTAGCCTGTTGCTAATCGAAATGAAATCAAAGAAAGAACCCAAATTCATGTACAGTGCTGGTGGCACTGATATCCTAGATATGTTTATGCTGATATCTGTGTAGCATCAAGCTCATGTATCATAAGATCTCTTGGCAATTGAAACTTCTTTCAGGTTATAAAATAAATGTAACTCATAATATCATAAAGGGTATTGTGTTGTGATATACTGTACCTGTACTGTACAGGTATTGTACAGTATTGTTGAAGGTTTGTGTTGTGATATACTGTACTTGTACTGTACCAGGTATTGTACAGTATTGTTGAAGGTTTGTGTTGTGATATACTGTACCTGTACTGTACCAGGTATTGTACAGTATTGTTGAAGGTTTGTGTTGTGATATACTGTACCTGTACTGTACCAGGTATTTGTACAGAACTGTATTGTCAAAGATTTAAACAAGCTCCATATTTTTAAAACAAAGGATGATACAAACATTAACTGTTATGACAAAATATAAATGTAACTTTCTGAGAATTCCATCATGTCAGTAAAGAGACATGAGCAGCCAATTGGCATGTTCTGTATTGTACAGTCAATATAAAAAGTCGCACAGTAGGTCCTCATTTAACGTAATGGTTCCGTTCCTGAAAACCGCGACGTTAACAGAAACAACGTTAACGGAATAAATTTTCAACATAAGAAATAGATAAAATATGGGAGTTACGTTCCCCAGCCTCCCTTTGCCCCATAAAATACATTACATATACATAAATTCAATGGAATTTTTACAGAAAATAATATTTATTATACAACCAAAAAGATAATTAAAATAAATAATTTTGTATTGTACTCACTGACGGGCGGAGGTGGAGCGAGTGTGTGGTGGGTAGTGGAGAGGAGGGTGGCTCCTCCCCCCACTCTGACTGGATGAGACAAAGTGACAAAGTCATACTTAATCGGCGGGACGTTGTCTGAATCATGGGTATCTAAAGAGTAGTGACATTATAACGAAACAAAATTGTCGGTGGCAACGTTAAACGAAGACTTACTGTATTACACTCCCCTAATGTTATGTTCCAAAACCCACAACGAAGAATATGGGTGAAGTGACAGCAACGCTTCGAATCTGAACAGTGAACTTTGCCCCAATTCTTCATCATGGGTTTTGGAACATAAGGCACGGTAAGTGTAATGCAACTTTTGTTCTTTGACTGTACAGTACATTCCAGCACCAATGTGTTTGGTGGTTTATAATACCATGAAATTCTTCTCCCTTAAATATACTGTCCTGTATCTTTAATTTAATCCTCTTGTCATAGGAAGAAGTGATATAAGTATCTTCCATCCTTTACTTCATATCACAGTTTTGAGATTGTGACGTGTTTATTATTTCCCAGGTATTACCACTGCCTGGGGGTCTGCAGACGGCCAGCTTCTTACCAGTGTCTAGCAGCAACAAAACATTATCCTCGGGAGTATCCCCACTACTTACCACTACTGCTTCTATAAATGCCTCCCTTGTGAGTTCTAACATTGTCATTTGCAGGTTTATTGCTAATGTATATTTTTACATTCAACTGCTTTTTGAACATGGAAAGTACAGGGGCCTGAAGCATTTAGGTCACGTTATGAAAGTTGTGGAAAGAATGCCTGAGAGATTGATAAGGGAGAGCGAGTGAGTGAGTGAGTGGACTTTAATGAAATGCAGTTTGGGTTTATGCCTTGCTGGGGACTTCAGAGCCAATACTTATGACCAGGCAACTACAAGGAAATATCTAGGTAAGAAGAGAAAGATGAACTCTGTATGTGTAGACTCAAAGAAATCATTTGATAGGGTACAGTACCACGTGACAGTGCAGAACACAATGAGAAAGTTAGGGGTTGAGGAGTGTCTTTGTATTTATTCATATAAATAAAGACATTCAAGGTACAGTATTAGGATATTTATTTAAAAAAACAATAAATATTTATGAACTCTACTTCTTTTAAATGTCTTGAAACATAAAAAGCTTCTAGTAGTCAAACATAACAAACCCAAGATACATGTGTTGTTGATCCACATAGGCAACTCTCAACTTATAAAAAGACTATATTTTATGATTTTTTTTATTAAAAGGTTGCACACAATGATGTTTTCCTTATTTTGTTAATTAAGAAGTAAAACAAATGTTCCTGGGTTTGTTAAGATTGTTTGGAAGGAAAACTTGACATGGTCTATTGGTAGAATTAGGGTAATTGATGGATAACGTAGGACCGAGGAAACCAGAAAATCCTCAAAGTTGGTTCAGGCTTGGTCCCAAGGGCTCTGGGTTTGAGGGTCAATACTGTACCTGTATTATTGCTCATCAAGATTTTGATAAACACTGTACAGGTATCCCCCATTTAATGGTGGGGGTTGCATTTCAGAAAACCTAACATTAAGCGAAATCATCACTAAACGAGGGATAAATAGGGATGCAGCTTACTAATCAGATACAAATTTTAGTAAAGTCTTAAAAATACCCATAAGTATTACTGTAATGCCTTGTGCATTCTAGCACCACCTCTAACTAATTCCCACTATCATTACTACCTGACTCTAAATGAAAATTACCACCATTACTATCATCACACTTGTGAATTTAGTTACAAGAAATCAAGGTCAGTCAACTGTATCTACTGTGTCAAACCCTTGACCATAATAAAGAGAGATTATTTGTATTGTAGATTTAGGAGGGTAAATGTCAACATTGCCCAACAAGCAAATGGGCAGTTCTAATATCCTAATTTTATGTAACTGGAACATGGAGGCATTAGAAAGAGTTGTTTACTTTCCACATACTTTAAACAATATACAGGTACCTGTATTACTATGTCACTATGAAAGCTTTTGAAATTCTAGTACAGTATACCCTTATGAAAAAAAATATTTGAAAGTGTGTGTGTGTGTGTGTGTGTGCCAACAACGGTACACATTCTGATGATGGAATACTGTACGTATAGGCTGTCACTCTAAGATATTTTACTGATTTAGTATTCAGATATCATAGCAAGTTATGATTCACACTCAAGTCAATGTAAACAATACATATAAGTAAATTAGAACATATTTTTGGGGGTAAATAATAATTCACAAATGGGAATGCCACTCCAGTCAGTGCATGGGGGGAAATGGGTTACACATTGCTCCCAGCGCTTCACAAATTTTACAATGTTTTATTATTATACTATCAGTTTTTCAAAAGAATTCACGGCAAACTTTCAGGCACGTGGGTAGAGTAAACATAAACAAATGACAGTTGAGATATGCAGGTGGAGAACAGAATCCCTAGTTTTTCCCTTCCCAGTGAGTCAAGTCATCTTCCCAGTGAGTCAAGTCATCTTCCCAGTGAGTCAAGTCATCGTTAAACTAAATTTTGACCTAACATTAAGTGGAAAATGGCGTCAAAAAAATTTAGCACTAAATTGAATTAACATTAAGCAAATTAACTAACCGAGGGCTACGAGTAAATAGTTTTAAATATATTTATGTATTAGAGTCCGCCAGTCTTTAAATTTTAAAGTTTGGAGAAATGGATTCAGTGTCAATGCCAGATTGTTTGTAAAGAGATACTTTATAGAGAACAAATGTCATATTTTTAAAGGTGATGGCTTGATATACACCAGTACAATACAGCACAGTAAAGTGTGGTGCACAGCGATCTGAGAGAGAATAAAGAAAATCACGGGTGGTCGAGAAAGTATTTGTAAGAGTTATGAAATGATGTGGTATTGTAGATTAGACCATCACCAAAGAAAGATGTCACTGCTGAGTAATGTTTGATATATTGTATCGTAAGATGAACTTATTATTCCAGGATGTTACTTCAAACTTGTCATCATCCCAAACTTTAACAACAATCGTTGGGGGTGTTGGAGACGCCACTGATGGTGGTGGAGGCAGCAGCAGTGGAGTTCCAATACAAGTGGATATAACTGAGAAGGATGAAGTTGCTTGTTACAACTACGAGTTCTTCCATGGTGGGATGGCCAAGACTGCTCCTAGCAAGAATGAACCCATAAAACTGAAGGTGTGTTTTATGTTATAGAAATTTACTTCCGTTGTTATTACTGTACGGTATATGTATTCAGTACTGTACAGGGTATAGGAAATTTTTTGTTTGAATATGTATTGCTGGCAGTACGAACACGTAAGCGAGACTGGTGGAGGCAGAGCAGAGGGAAGAGAGCGGAGGCAGCACATTGTTAACCCACTTATATTCAAACTTTCCTTGTTGGGCAAATTATTTGATCACATATATTTAAATGCATATAGTCAAAAGCGCATTGGACAAACCAACATTAGGTGGCGGGGTTCACTGTAGTACTGTAATGCTGTTTAGTGGAATTATGATCAGATAAATTTTTCTTTAAAAAAAATGAGAGCTAAGGTGCTCCACAAATAGTTATAAAATAAATAGAAACTTGGGAGTGTATTTTAGATTTAAAGAGTAGCTAATCATATATCTTTTTTTTTGTTCTTTCAGCCAAAGCACAGATGCCAATATTGTGTTAAGGAATTTAGCAAGAATTTTGACCTTAAGCAACACATCCGCTCACACACAGGAGAGAAGCCCTTTCAGTGCGTTGTGTGTGGTCGAGCCTTCACACAGAAAAGCAATGTGAAAAAACATATGGCCACCCATCGTGTGTGGCCATCTGGCTCCCTCAGTGATACTTTACCCAAAGACCCAATTAGGAAACTTATGATGTCAACCTCAACAATAGATGTAAGTTATACAGTGCAGACTAATTAACTTAATTCATTCTAGTGCAGTTATAAAGTATGTTATGGATTTTATTATGGTGTTCAGGACATTCATGCATGAACTTGTTTGATAGAGAATTTGGACTTAATTATCATCTTTTACTCATTGTTTTGCTGTCATAGGAATGGTAAAAATGGGTGTTAGCTAGTCAGGGAGGGGCGGGGGGTCCCGTACTCCCCTTTTCATCAGAAAATTACAATACTTTTTCTTTAATGTAGTATTGTACTCAGGCATTTTTGTAAAGTAAAAGGTAATTACTATTGACCTCAGAATATCTCCTAATATCAAGTGCGCATGGCTTCAAAATGGCCTCAAAATGGCCTCAAAACGCCCATGATATTGGCCAGATTAAAAAAAAAACTATGGGGCTTACAGCGCCCCCCAAACCCCCCCAGCTGGGTGGCTTGCTTCGCTCACCATGTTCCCCCACCCACAACTTCTTGGATCCCCCCTTTTTTATATTCTTGGATCTGCCCCTGCTAATACTGTAGCTCTTTTAGGGTATCAGTTGAAAGGCAGGGGTCATGTTCTACCACTCACAGTACCCTGAAACAGCTAGCTACCACCACCATCTACTGTGCACCCATTTCTACCATTAGTATGACATTAAACAATAAACATGTAATAAATTATAAGTATGCATTAGAGAATTCTACAAGTTAAGGGAATGAGTGATTTATTGAGAAGCATATGAGTGTTCTCCTTAATATATGTCTGTGCTCACTGTGTAGCAGTTTTTGTAAGTGGTTTGAATTATTTTCTCACGGTAACACTACAAAAAACAAAACACGGTGTGCTAATCAAATATTTGTGATAAATGAGAACCATACACACACACGCACATTTACACACACATTCCTTGAACTTTTCTTGTAGCTGGAGATTTAAAAACCCAACTAATAAAGAAAAATATTTGTTAATCCAGATGTTAGACTACTAAAAATACTAACTAACAAGTAGGAAGTTAAAGAAAGTTATTTTTTTGTAGGTTCTATTATTGTAAAAAATACTGGTAATAAAAGGAACCATTAAATTATAACGATAAAATCTAACTGACATGACAATGTAGTGACAGACTAACGTGAAGTGGAAGTATGTTGCATATCCAATTTGCTGGTTGGCTGTATGGTGGTGGTAAGTACAGTCAACCCTCGCTTTACGCGGTACGCTGCCGAAACCGGAATGCTCACATTCCGCGGTGCGTGTACCCCTTTACGCGGAGAGCGGCTGGCGAACCGCACCATTTTTGGATCCAAACCTCCCGCCATCTCTCCCGCCCTCTCCCGCCATGTTGTGTAAGCGGCGCGAGCAGGGTGCGCACAAGGTCGCCCAGTCATCAAAACATTACCGAGTTCTTCACCCGCCACAAGTCAGTGATAGTGATAATTATAGTGAGGATATGGACTTTGAGGGGTTTGACAATGAGGCCCTGCAAGCCTCTGTGGTGGTTAGTGATACAATTGATACAAGTGATACAGGTGAGGGCCAATAATCTGCCCTCTGCCTCGGAACCAACCCCCCATCCCCGTGTGCCCAGCCATCTTTTCTACTAATGTAAGTGTTAAAAAACCTAATATTATTGATATTTCTCTTAATTATTAATTCTGTGTGCATACCATCATAAAATTAAGAAGTTATTTTTACTACAACGTAGGTATTGTGTCTGAAAAAGTGGAGTTTGGGGGTCAGCCCGGTCTCTATTTCAATTAATCCCATATGTCATGTCGTTCACTTTACACGTTTCTCACTTTCCGCGGTACCCTGTGGGTTGAATTAACCGCGTAAAGTGAGGGTTCACTGTACTACCAACCAGCATACAGGACACAACACGCACCTCAGTAATAGAATAAGTAGAATCAAATTGCTTTAGGGAATATATATACAGTATATTGCCTATGTGTGATACTAGAGAGTTGTATGATGTAACAGGAGTCAACCACATGTTTATCTTTGGGTTTTATTATCTATCAGAGCATTCCTCTCTGTCATAATGGGAAAGGCCTTGCAAGATTTTTTTTTCTCATAAAGCAAGCCATAAAATAAGACAAAATTTCCTTTCTTCAGTGATTTTACAACAAAGACTAATACGTATTTATATTATATTAACCACAGATGGTACCTCAAATTAACCTTTTAGAAGATGGTGTAATGAAAGAGGAGGTTCTAGTGGATGACTCCTATGTCTGCCAGTTCTGTGATCACTCCGTCAAGAGCTACGTCAACTTACGCACCCATATGAAAAATCATGTTGAGGAAAAGGTAAAAAAAAAAAAAAATAAATAAATCCTATAATATACTGTACTATCAAAAATTTTAATATTCAACAACATGTAAGCTACTCATTACAGATTACTGAAAAAATATTAAAATTATTCTGTAGTAGTCTGTTAAAGGCAATTTTGTATAAGGGCTTAAGCAAATTGGCACATTTATGAATGTCTAATTCAGTGAAACCTCTATATAAAGGACTACTCATATATGGAGAGGAAAGTTGGTTTTATCACGGGTCCAATAGATGTGAAACCTCCATCTAACGAACTATATAGAAATGAAAGTCCGTTTTATCAAGGATCCTTAGATATGAAATCTCCATTTAACAGAATATATGGAGAGAGACGTACATTATATGGAGGTTTCACTGTACAGTATTGCCTTTGTTCATGCACACATCATCCTCTTGTATCTCCTCCCACCCCCTTCAATAGGTAGATGATGACCAGTAAACTTGACATTCTCACAGGCACATATCTAGCACTTGTCAGAAATGTATTTATTTCTGTACAAGCCAAAACTAATGGCTAAATCCACTTTAAATCATGAGTGGCAACTATTCACTATTGTGATTTGTTTTGGTTCAACACCAGATGACTGTGATGAGCACTAACAGGAAACGGTACAGCATCCTTCAGCAGTTTGCTATTCAAAGTTTAGTGTGGTGACTGTGTAAACATATCCTTAATTTTATCCTAAGTTTTGCACTTTTCCAGGGAAGTGACAAGCATTTCGTACTCAAAAGTTACCATAACAAACCAACCTAGCACAGTATGAGCTGAGCCCTAGCCTCTTTATTGAGTTCCATCACAGAAAATGCCTACTCAAAAGTGTACATTGATCCAAACAATTCAAACATCCTTTGAGCATGAGCCTTTAATTTTGACAATGGACAATTAGTAACAGAAGCAAAAAACTGGGAAGCATCACTGACTTGAACTGCTCCAAAACCACTTACATAAGTTGATCGACACATTTGTACTTTTGGACAACCATTCACTATCAAGAACAGGGATATACTAGTGGACACAGTAAACTGTATCATCTCAGGAAGGGGCAATACTACTCATAGCAAATTTCATATGTAATGAATGCAAGTATGCCAAGTTGTCAGTTGACCCATGAATTTTGAATAAAAAAAATGCTGGTTGTCTGAGGTGTATGGAGAGGTAAAGGCTGGATAATTGGGATTGTACTGTTGTCAACTTTGCACCCTTACATGTTTTCAGAAACTGTTATGTTTTTGTTTACAGTATATATTTATTGTGAACAAAGAACTAGGGAGATTATACTTCCTGCCAGCTGGGCTCCATTAAAAGAACAAAAGATTTGTTATCAAAAGGAAGAAATGAAAATGACTGACTTGTGTTGATCTTAAGAAATGTGTGAATAGTGTAAGTTAGCACCTATGATATGAGAACCATTCTTTGGCACATTCATATGTGTATACAGACCTGATTACATTTCAAACATGTTCCAGGTGTACAAGTGCATTCAAAAGAACTGTGACCTGTCCTTTGATGACATAGACCCCTTTCTGGACCACATCAACACACACGACCATGACTTGCAGTACCGCTGCCATACCTGCTCCAAGGTGTTTTCTTCACTCAAGACTCTTGGCAATCACCAGAAGGACCACTCACTGTCTCGTCAGTCAAAAAAAACTGTAGGCCCGAGGTGAGTAACCAAATTTATAGCACAGAAAACTTGCAAGATAATTGTGATACTTTAGCCAAAAACCTCATGGGCAGATGCTGCCATTGCTCATAAGATGTTTAGTGCTTGACAGCAGGGGACAGTATTGTAATGGACACTATATTGCTGCAAGTAATGAACACATTGCTACCTTCCTACCCAATCAAATCCATATCAATTCACTGGTTGTCTCAGGAGCCAGTGGAACCTCAACCTATATTTCACTTTCTTGAATCTCCCTTTCATGTCCATGCTGTCAGCCCTACAGTTGAGACCTTTCAGTGATATTCCTCTGGACATTCATGGAATGATTGGGGCTTATTTTGTCTGTCTATCTGTCTTTCAAATTGAAGGAAATTAATTCATCAAGAATATGTTATAATTTTTTGTAACTCCCAAGAGGAAGGAAGATGGCGCAGCTTCCTAGCTACAGGCTCTGCCATAAAAAGAAATTTCAGTAGTAGTCCAACTTATGGCATATGCCCTCCACCATTCAGCTTCTCACAATCCAAAATTAGTACCAGTAAGTCAAAGAGGAAGGAGATGGCACTATAGGTTGTACCTCTCTAGTCCGGCAACCTCGGGACCTGACCGGTGCCGGACCATGGAAATTCACCCTTTTCCTGGATAGATAGTGACTTGTGCATACACTAGGAAGCACTAGCACCACTTTCTCTGCTTCATGGTCTCTTTGAAGACATATTGAAGGGTTAAATGTTGTACAGTAGGTTCTCAAATTTCGCGAGTTTTTAATTCAACATTTTTTATTTGAACACAAAAAAAAACACTGCACAATTTAAAATTTCGATGGTGAAAACTCGAATTTCGACAGGTTTGAGTGGCCCGCCAACGTTCAGTCATGCTTAATTGCGTAAACAGCGTCATTTCTCGATGTACAAAACATTCAATATTGTTTATTGCTTTATGTCTTTTTGATTGAATTAATATTTATGTGTGCAAAATGAACAATACAATTCATTAACAATATGTAGAATATTAAAACACACGAGGAGACGAGACAGCATTGTTTTCGTTGTTTACAAAACTAGTGACTGACTGGTTCTACATATAAAACTGAAGAAAATAAGACCCTGGTTGTAGCTGTAGTAAAATTAATATGGTTGTTTTAAGAAATGTTATTTAATGTTAATAAATGGAACAATGGAAATAGCTAACCATTAATGGTAAAAAAAAAGTGAGATCACGTATGTACGTGAGCACATGTGTAAACATATCGTCATTACTCTACATAAGAATATGAAAGCAACACTTATTTACTGTTCATACAGTATATATTTTAATTAATGTTTTTGAATTTAAAACAAAAATTCTACCCACCAGTGGTGGTAGAGTTGAAAACATAAAGACAGCCAATGTTGTTGTGTGTGTTTTTACTCGGATGACGAAGTTGCCAAGCCATCAGGTTCAACTCTAGCTAAAGCTGTAGAACATAAGAACTTTTCTGTGTTGTTTTTAGTTTTTAATTAACTTTATCTGTGTTATTTTCGTTGGCTTATTAGGATGTTGCTTTATTACAGGTAGTAATTCACCAAAAAAGTAGGGTAAATAAGGCCAAATTTAGACAAACATCGAAAGTACAGTACCAGACTCAAATTAATTTTCTCCATGGGCAAACTAAAATCGTTCCGGACCACAGAATGCCGGACTAGAGAGGTACAACCTGTACCAATATATAATAAATAAATAAAACTCAAAGATCGGTCACAACAGTTAATAAACAAGGATCATAGGGAGAGGAGAACAATATGATCAAGTACAGTACAGTATAGTATAGTACAGGTGTATTTGCATTTTTTTTGCACTGGTATCGTTTGTGTATGTTGTGTGTGTATGCATATTTGAATGTGTGCTTCAGTGCATACAGTATTACATTATGTTATCGACTTTCATCTTTTCAGTTATTTTCGATGTAACAAATGTAGGAACAAATATGCCAGTGCTGAGGCATTGGACCACCATCTACGCACCTCTTCACATCACTATCCTTGTAAACAGTGTGGAAAAATGTTCACAACTGAGAGATTACTACGCCGTCATTTGCACAGTCACGGAACAGGCAATATTTCCACTTGTGTCGTGAGTATTATATTTTATAGTTGTTATTAGCGATAGGTAGTTTAAGTTATCTCTATATCAGACAAGCAGTAGGAAGCATCACCAGGTGGGGCACAGACCTAGACACATGCCATTTTCAATCTCAGACCCACTGGCAGCCAATTACTTTCTGCACTCTACAAATAAGTGCTGCATTCTTAGAGCTTACAATCAAATCCATGTTTGAGAAACCCACATTGGGCAAGGTTTGACTGTCATTACCTCATGAGTAATTAGTTCTTTACTTCCTCCAGACTCCTCCTTCCATATCAGATGATCCTTTCTTCACTTATTCTTTTGTACCACTATTTCCAATGTCAGTGGACCAATGATACCCAATCCAGTATACCCACTTTTCAGCTCCAGTTGCGATACCTGCCATTCCATAACATACCATTTAGACACACTTGATCATCAGTCACCCTTTTCATTCCTCAACTATATATTCAGTATGATACTTCATATTAATCATTTCACAAAAATTGTCTGTTTGATGTTTCTCTGTCTTACAGCAATGCTCCAAGGAATTTAAGACAGAGTATGCCTTAAAGATGCATCAGCTCATACACACTGGGGAGAAACCACACGAGTGCAACCAGTGTGATGCTGCCTTTAATCGTAAAGATAAGTTAAAACGACACTTGCTGATCCATGAAGCAAAAAAATTCCAGTGTCCTTTCAAGTCTACTGCTGGTTGTCTCAGGGAATTCAGCAGACCTGGTAAGTTTTTGTCTGAAATCCAGTACCTTCAGGAGCTAATATTTATCACTTTTTGAAAATTCCCCATTTTCTGAAACCTAGACCAATTGCATATCCTAGCCTTGAATAGATCTTTGCATAGAGTGATTGTAAAATATGATTTGTTTTGTTTTTTTACACCTTATATGTTGTTTCTTATGTACAGTACCATATAATGTACTGTACATTATCAACTGAAGAAAGTCTGCCTGACCTGAACAGAGTAATATAACTTATATTGGTTTAATCAGTTAATTTGGGGACATTTCACTTGAGTAAACCCATATTTTATAATTGAACTAGTTAAATATCTTAATCACTTAATTGGCAGAATATTAATTTAGTGAACTTAATATTCAAATACTGTACTGTATGTAAGCTAAACCAGTATGCCTTTAGTAATGTTTTAAATAGCTAGCTTGATGGTAAGAATGTATAATCCCTGAGTTGTAGAACAGTAATCATCAGTGCTGGAAGAAAGGAACAAGATCACCTTGTACTTTAACTCATATCCTACTCTTGAACTTTCTCATGTTTTCATTCAAATTACAGTACAGTTCATTTAATATTCAACTGTCAGATAAATTACGGCTCCACATGATGACTCACGTGGGTGGTCGTGCACGCCGTGGGCGAGGACGTGGACGAGGCTCCAACACCACACGAATGGAACGACAGGTGAAGACAGAGATCCTTCCCCCTGAAGAAATAAAGTGCTCAGTCTGTCATTTGGTAAGTTTTATACTTCCTTCTGTACTTTATATCAAGGGTATTACTTTGTGTACCAGTAATGGAGATGTATTGCTCCAAAAGTCTGACAGCAAATATTGCCATATATGAACTCATTTCCATCGAGTTATAGCAATTATGACAAAACAGTTATCCCTAATTGGCAAAAAATATCAGTTGCACTTAAAGGTTGAATCATGGTTACAGTGAGTACATGTGCATTTGTGAATGAGCAGAGTGGGGAGAAAAGACAGAGGTTATGAGAAAAGTTGTGATGGGGAATTTAAAAGTAAAAGTAGGTGTTAGGGAAATGGAGGGATTGTTGAGAAATTTAGAGAGACTGAAATTTGATTGGTAGTGGGGAGTACAAAGTTGAGAAAGAAAAAATATATAAATATACATGGAGGTGAGATAATGATAAGATAGAGGATTGTTAGATTATGATAAGATAGAGGATTGTTAGATAATGATAAGATAGAGGAGTGTTAGATTATGATAAGATAGAGGAGTGTTAGATTATGATAAGATAGAGGAGTGTTAGATTATGATAAGATAGAGGAGTGTTAGATTATGATAAGATAGAGGATTGTTAGATTATGATAAGATAGAGGATTGTTAGATTATGATAAGATAGAGGATTGTTAGATTATGATAAGATAGAGGATTGTTAGATTATGATAAGATAGAGGATTGTTAGATTATGATAAGATAGAGGATTGTTAGATTATGATAAGATAGAGGATTGTTAGATTATGATAAGATAGAGGAGTGTTAGACTGTTTTGGTGGAAAGAAGAATGAAATGTAAGTTGATTAGTGTGGTACTGTGAGGGGCGATGCAGTGTCTGACAATTACTTGAGTAGAAGCAAGATTAATAGTGAGTAAAAGGTTCAGGTTGAAAGAATTCATTGATAAAATTTTCAGAGACATTATCAAGACCGGATGGGCATTCTCATCTGGGAGCAGTGGGGTTGAGGGTGGTAAAGAATGGACCCAGTTCAAGTGTGCAGTCTAACATAGTCTCAGTTGTGTGGCTACAGGGGAATAGAAATGAAAAACAAGAGGAAGGAATGGTGGGAAGAAAGGTTGGAAGTGCTCATTAACCTTTAATTGGCAGCCATCATCAGTGAAAGTTAGTTGTAGGGATGGCTGCCATCATTAGTGAACGTTTCATGTTCTTTGCATTCCATCTTTGTACATATAGGGGCAGAGTAAGCAAATCTTAGGCTGCTGGCTAAAGGTTTAGGAGAAGAGAAGGGCATATTAGTATCTGTACCAAGAAGGTAGGAGTACAGGGATATTAGAAGGAAAGTGAAAAGAATAGCAAAGAAATGTAAAAAGACAGTAGGAAGATGAGGGAAAGTTTGCCACAAGGTTTTAAAGAATGCAAGAAACTGTCTAGAAAAGAACTGAATAGAAAAAGTAAAAAAAAAAAAACATATAAATAAAAACAACATATATATATATATATATATATATATATATATATATATATATATATATATATATATATATATATATATATATATATATATATATATATATATATATATATATATATATATATATATATATATATATATATATATATATATATATATATATATATATATATATATATATATATATATATATATATATATATATATATACCTGTACTGTATATACTTTTTTCCTTTTCTCTCAGTCTTTTCCACCTGGAGAAGATGATCACAAATGCCTGGTAGAAGAGGATATTAATAGTGGGTTCATTGATAACGAGGGTAGAGACCCGAGTGCCTCGGTAACACACACAGGAAGGATCCGTCCTGTCCGTCAAGCAGTAGTACGAAGAGTAAGAGATCAAGCCAGCAGTAAAAGAGGGGGCAGGAAGAAGAGAGGGGGATCTGCGCATCAAAGTCATTCTTCACGTAGACAAAACCAACAACTGCAGGATGTGAAACACCAATACCAGCAGCAGGAAAAGCATATAATACAGACACAGGAAATTCAGCATCAGGTAGAAGAAAATATCTTGAGTGTGCCGACCGTTGAGAGCATCACCGAGGTAGACGGTGATGCCGATACCCAGAATGTAGACATCATTTACATCCCCCTTGCTTTGGTGCGGGCTATGTCTACTGAGGATGGCAGTCATGTTGATAGTGAAATGTTGGAGGGTGGTCCCACTATTACATTAGATGGCACCACATCATCACTTATAGTTGGAAATAGTACAATGGTACCCTTAGTTAATCCTGCCACAGTACATGAAGTGGATCATCTAGAACCCACAACTATTCTTAAGGAAACTTCAGATCTGCAGGTTATATATAATCCAGCCACTCCTCAGCAGGGAAACAATGGCACAACACAACTGGTAGAGACACAATTAACCAGTAACCACATCCACAGTGCACAGCTTGGCCATGATGCTGATCTAGATGAGTCTCACCTCACACACACACATCTCACACATATTAACATTTTACCAGATCAGACTTGATACGAAGCCTAATAAGTAGTACAGTAATCCTAATCTTTACACCATCATATAGCTGTCACAGGAATTTGTAACAAACATTATGTAATAAATATAGTGATCAGTCCAAAAATATTGCAATAATTTACTCTTTTAAGTAGTACCGTATTAATATTGTGTGGGATACGTATATATATAAATTTCAGAGAATAATATCTATGAAGACAATCAATTATTTATATGTCTACGGTTTGTGTAATATTTTCTACCTTTATATTTCTGTCCCTCCAAAACTTTTGGCTTGTGACAAGATTAGAGGCCAGTATTGTAATAAGTGTTGTATAAGAATACTTCTTGATATGTACAGTATACTGTAGTACAGTACTGTATGTGCAATATTTAGAAACGGAAAGACAGTCTATTTTTCTTTGACATATTTTTGACTCGGAATCATATATTTTGCTTTATTTAATAAGGTGATTGACTTGGAATGTATTTAGTATAACTTGAAATTTTGGATCATAATTCTTTATTTAATCAAGTCTGTATATTATTATGATAAATTACAACAAGATTATTTTCTTGTTTGGTCTATTTTATTGTACATTAATTTCAGATTTTGGTGCATAATTATTAATTAATTGATAATATAATTTGAATCTTCATCCGTGATGAAAAAAACATTACCCGTATTATATTGAGTTAAAAACACTAGTAACTGTTGAGAACATTATTGAAGAAGAATGAGTATGACCTCTAGCAGGTAATTAAAACATTTAACTCTTTTTCAGTTACTGATGTGTGTTAATTTTGTTGCCATGTTAGAACCTGTATGAGAGTATAATTACAGTACTGTGTATGGTGATAAATGTGATAACATCTCCTCCCTTGGAAGGAGACTACATTGAAGATAACTTTGTGTGGTGAGTCTTGGCTTTGCACAATGAAACTAACGGGCTTCTTTTGAGTATGGAGACTCTTCCCTGCTTTCACTTACATATATACAGGCAGTGCTCACTATCCAAAAGAATGTGTTCCACTGGTGTGGTGCATAATATGAAAGTTCATATAGTGAACAGAATTTTCCCATGGACAACATTATCATAATGTTATAAATGGAGGAATTATTCTTGGGGGCTGACTTTCAAGCACCTTATGTAACCTAAACTAACCAAACTTGAGTATTTTACAAGAGATACAGGTAATAACTCAATACAAAATACCTCCCCATAAACATCTTCAAACAACAGAAAAGTAAATTAGTACTGTACAGTATTATACACCAATCTAGTCATCATGGGAGATGATTTGGTACTCATTTGCAGTATTGTTTATCTCACTCTAGAAATTTAATGTAGGTGCCTGGCATAGAAGCCATTCATATTTCCTTTCTGCAAGAGGAGGTGGGGATGGATGCAGGTGTAGCTTCCAAGCCTACCTCCTCTCTAAACTACCGGTATGCAATATCCAGACCACAGACCAACTAACATAAGGACATTCCCACATGCTTGTGTCAGCACCCAAACATCTTCCAATTATATGAGAAAAAAGAATTACATCTGTATAATTTGGGAGTTTTTGTTTGTACTGTATAATAAAGCAGAGGATAAAAATTAACGACAACAGAAGTCACTCGATACAAAGGACAAGTCCCTGACTTAGTGCCCTAGATTGGCACAAGAATAGTACCTGCACAGTGAACCCTTTTCAGTGGAGTGATACAGTCCAAAGTAACTTTTGGCAACTTCTGAAATTTGCATGACATTAAAAGTGTGTATCAGTGAATATACCCTATGTACAGTACAGTAGTGAATACTAAAGTGTTCACAAATTTATGAATTTTGTACTACAGGGTAAATGCAAAACTATATATAGTGAGGCCTGCCTGTATAGTATTTACCATTATTCCAAAGACTATAAAGAATTTAGCAATAGTGTATCCCTGAACATGCATATTCCTCTTTGTCCATTAGTGGCCCTGTACTGTACTGCAGTGATTCCACACTGTACTTGACCAAATTTTGGTGAAGTTTAAATTCTTTTACACTACAATGAGACATTTCAATATTCAGTACAGTACTGTATAGTTATTTGTTTATTTTCTCATTGTCAGTCATGATATATATATATACATATATATATATATATATATATATATAAAATAAATAAATAAATAATCATATTTTTTCATGTACTATATTGTACTTAAGTTATTCATTGATTTATTTCCTCGTACTATAACATTAAAGCACAACTCAAAGTTGTTTAGCATCCATTTTAAACTGGGTGGCTCTCATTATTGCATATACTGTATTGAGGGGTTTGGTTAGTCATACTTTACCCTCATAATATGGGGCTGATCTACAATCACCCATTCATCCCTAGTCATATTAAGAGGGAAATTAAATGCAAATACTGTACTGTACAGTATTGCCCTCTAGCAAGAGGTCTAATAAAGCATGTGCCAATCCAGCCAATGCACTCTTCCCACCAGTTACAATACAGACCACATCTTAATTTCAAAGCTAATCCACTCTTTTGGATTAAATCCCCAGCTGACAAACACAGAGAGCAGGTGCCTCTCTCCTGCTTTGCTGACAAAAAGTGTCTAGCTGCATCTAGTAACACTGCAAGCAATGTTAATCATATAGTACTGAGTTGCACCAACCTAGCTTGTTATTCATGTGAGCATGCTACTGTACTATTGCTTGTCTAGGAAAGGTGTTACAAAAATGATCCCAAATAACCTCAATATTTATTCAGTTGACTTATATGTATGGTTATAAAATAATATAATATTGTGCAGTAATTTGCTGCAATAATTAGGAACAAACATGCTCTAAAACTGTGATTATAATGATTACAATTTAAGTACCCAGTAAAATCATCCTTTATTGAACTACAGTACATGTTGCACAGTTTAATTTACAAATTAAATTATTCCCCATTGTTTAATACAGTATTTATTTTATGTGCATAATTAGAATAACTTAACATGACAGCTAGAATTGCTAATGTAATATAGTTTTCTTACCCATAATACAAATTAAAATGTATTACTGACAGATTTATATGTGGAAGCAATTTAAGCCATATGGTGATGATGCCACTGCTTGGATTTTTTAGGTAAATAATGTAGTACGTATATAATTTTTAGTCTAGGACTCCCTCAATACTTCAGAAGGTTTGGTTCTGGAACCTTTTATGATGAATATATTCACAAAGACCTGAGTCTAGAAACAATGGGAAAAATGAGGTTTAGTTCATGAAGTTTCAAATCCTTCCCTCTTACACCAAACACCACAGAATATATATATATATATATACAGTGGTCCCTCGGTTAACGAGCACAATCCATTCCAGCAGGTTGCTCGTTAACCGAAACCATTGTTTCAATGGGTTTTGGGGTAATTGGTTCCAGCTCACCGAAAATTGCCTAAATTCAACAAAAAAGGTAGAAAAGTACACATACTTTGAGGTGTGTATGTAGAAGGCTCCTGGATGATGATGATGGGAATTAGAATGGGGGTGGAGGAGAAGGAAGAAGAGAAGGCATTGGGGTGGAAGAGAAGTCACCCCATGGCGCCATTTCACCCATAAAATTTTAGTTCTCTTGGTGTATTTCAAGATTATTTTCTTTAAATCAACACTGCACTGCATTATATATTGTCAATATGTAAAATATATTTCAAAATGACCAATAATTTGCTTGGAAACACAGAAAAAAGCATTTAGTTGAAGAGAGTCTCAAGCAAGATGTTACCTCCACTGAAAACAGAGAGAGACTAACGCCTGTCTGGTGTGTTAACAGGCTGGATGGCACGCCAGAAACTAGTTTCTTTACCTTCAATTATGTTCAATAATTGTTAAAATGACTAAAAAAGTTAATATTAAACTTTTAAAATTATTGAATAGTATAAACTTCTTGATATTTACTAAAATAGTAAGGCATTTAAGCCCTAAAACCGATTACTGTATTGGCGGACTAATACTACAGCTGGTGGACCGCCAAATGCAAGCGAAAACATGTTGAAGTCGGCTCGTAAAAACTCGTTAATCGAGGTTGCTTTCGTTAACGAAGTTAGAATCTTATGGAAGTAAATCGTTAACCGAGGACCACTGTGTGTGTGTGTATATATATATATATATATATATATATATATATATATATATATATATATATATATATATATATATATATATATATATATATATATATATATATATATATATATATATATATATATATATATATATATATATATATATATAGCTGTCACTATGGTATATGTATGCATTTATTCATGTACCTACTGTATAGTTTTTGTATCCTCATTCTTGTATTGAAAAACAAAAGGAATTTCATAAAAAAAAAAAAATATGATGAAAGCCTTAAACAGGCTTAATAAATTGTTGTCTGGGTAGTCAACATGTTTTAAGTAGAGAACTGTACCTGAATTTCCATGGCATCCATATGCTTACATTTTACGGACAGAAAGCATCTGCCAGTGAGGTAACACATGACCCATACATCAGATTTCCAAAAGGTGGCTGAACACCTTAACCTGTCCCCAAAAAGTCAGTGTATAATGCTGATGAAACTGCTGTTTATTACTGATGTTTGGTAATACAGATGCTATCTGGTGGTGAGGAAGCCTCAGCATCAGGACGTTAAATTAAACAACAGAATTAGCAACGTAAGTTGTCAAATGCTGCAGGAATGCACTGGTTTCAGCTTCTTATTAAGCACTACTAAGTCTTATACAGTATGTATATTGATATATATTCATAAAAGTGCATCCATGTGCATTACAAAGCAGATACAGTGTACTTGTGCTGTATTATGTCTTTGATATACTGTATAAGGAATTTTCCAGGAATTGGTGTAATAATCACTTTAAAGAAAAAGGAAAATTTTTCGGTACAGTGCTGTACAGTAATGCATGTATACTGTATTTAGTTAATATTTTATATGTTTGTACTGTACTATTTAGGTTTCCTGTGTTTCTAGTTGACCTTTACTTGATGTTATCTTTTAAAATTGATTATCTACAGGAGGTCTGTCTCCAAGAACTGCAGATAATCAAGAGTCTTATGTAAAAAATAATATACTGTACCTGTTTACTATATTAATGCTTGTACAGTAATCTATGTTATAATGGATGAAAAAATAATAATCAAAATTAAATTGAATTGGAGCCTAAAGATTTGCTATGAATTTAATTTTAAAGTTTTGATATATATACAGTACAGTCAACCCTCACTTTACGCGGTTAATTCAACCCACAGGGTACCGCGGAAAGTGAGAAACGCGTAAAGTGAACAACATAACATATGGGATTAATTGAAATAGAGACTGGGCCGACCCCCCAAACTCCACTTTTGACGACACACAACTATGTTGTAGTAAAAATATTATCTTAACTTTATGATGGTATGCACACACAATTAATAATTAAGAGAAATATCAATAATATTAGGTTTTTTAACACTTATATTAATAGAAAAGATGGTTGGGCACACGGGGATGGGCGGTTGGTTCCGAGGCAGAGGGCAGATTATTGGCCCTCACCTGTATCAATTGTATCACTATCCACCACAGAGGCTTGCAGGGCCTCTTTGTCAAACCCCTCAAAGTCCATATAAGTCCATATCCTCACTATAATTATCACTATCACTGACTTGGGCCGGCTGTGGTGGGTGGCGAGTGAAGAACTCGGTAATGTTTTGATGACTGGGCGACCTTGTGTGCACCATGCTCGCGCCGCTTACACAACATGGCGGATGGCGGGAGAGATGGCGGGAGGTTTGGATCCTAAAATGGCGCGGCTCGCCAACCGCTCTCCGCGTAAAGGGGTACACGCACCGCAGAATGTGAGCATTCCTGTTTCGACAGGGTACCGCGTAAACGTGGAAACGCGGAATGTGGGACCGCGTAAAGTGAGGGTTGACTGTACAGTATTTCATCGCACAACTCTCAACTAGGAATACTGTACAGTAGTTGACTCTACTCCCCAGTTTCTTCAGGGGGATTACAAATACTGTATGCCTCTTAGGTGCGTTAAAAGCTTCAGAGAGAGGTACTGTATTAATCACAGTTCGCTCATTAATATCATTGCACATATTTTCTGTGATACATAGATGATTCGTTGCCTGTTGACCAGGAGTTAGTAATCGGTTTTGCATTTCAATGATTACCGTATTGTACAGCATATAAGATGCACGGTTTTTGTTGGATAAATGGCTGAAACAAATCAGCCTGCATCCTGTATGTGAAGGTGCAGTCTCCTATAGGCTTATGAATCCCCCAGTTGCTGTCTCCAGTAAGCTAAACACTACCTAGCCTAACTCCAGAATTAAAAATATGTAGTGCATAAAACACATTATTACTTTTAATTAATTAATTTTAAACAAAATTCTTCACATTTGCATCTGTTAAGATTGCTGGTGAAATTGTTGCCAAGTTAGACTCATCACTGTAGCTACCACGCCGAGCTGTGAAGTGTAATTGTTAGTTTTCAACTTGTAATTTTGGTTAGATATACAGTACCGGTATGTAACTTTATTTTATTTCATTTTTTGTCAGTTGCATGCACACACAATCCTACATACATATTGTGCCAAAAATAAAAATGATTAAAATAAATACTTTTCATCAGGTCAAACACAAAGGGAAACATTTCTGTGTTCACAAGTTAGCAGGCCGAGTAACGGAGAAGGCAGTGCAGTGTGTGTGTGGGGGGTGATTGCAAAGTCGGCAGAGGCAGCATCCCAGCTGGGCTGCGTTGCTATGGCAAGTGTTGAGGCAATTGCTGTGTAGGCCGTTACTTTACATTTGTGATAATATTCCTTGTTTTTTTTCTGTATGTTATAGTAATAGTTTTGTACTTGTAACATAAAACTCATCACTATAGTCACATTCCCTAGCTCTCTCCCTACCACTCACTCCAGACAGAGCTGTGAGACTATGTTATGGTTATTTTTCAACTCATAATTTCATGTAAATACTGTACACGTAATTTTCTTCATGAGGCCAAAAACAGGCAAACGTGTTTTTCCTCAATACAGTATTCCCTGCTGAAATGGGGGGTGAGGGGGCATCTTATCTGCTGTAAAATCCGGTAGTACCCTATACTTTGTAATGGCAGTTCTACAGTTGAAGATGCTCTTTGCACTTAACAGTGTACTGTACTGTACTGTACAGCACAGTACATGTATTCCATAATGTACAGTACTTGAATGTATAAAGTAAATCAAATTCGCACAACATCATAGTGTTAGAATGCAGTACAGTAAATCCCTGTAAATTTTTATTCAATAGTGTAAATGGTAAACTGCCTCTATGCCAATGGCAAAACAGACATTACTAACTGATCAGTGTTTTTTCTGCATCTATGGCTCACCAACTCTCCAATACCTGTTGCCATTTTGTTCCAGATATTGCTTCCTCCGGGAAGAGGCAAAAATGAAAGAGACTTAAGAGTTTATACAGGTATAGTTAGATTTTTGTTCAAGCTATCACATGCAGGGATTGATTACTCTAAGGATATTCTTTGCGAACTTACTTTGACGAGGTGCATTTTTTGAGGAAAAACAATAAAACATTTATGTCTTAAAATTACAGCCCAAATAATGCATGAAATTATTTGCTACATCTGAGTTCATAAAAGAAAAAATCAAGGTTTGAATATAGAATTGTGAATACTGTACCCCTGTACTGGTACAGTGCAGTACAGTACTGTACTTGATTAAGGGTAATATCAAGAACTCAACAGACACAGGTTGGGGTATGACAAAATAAAATATTGCCTCTGATGTAAAGTCATCTGGATCAAAACCAGAAGTGGTATAAGGGTTAGAAAAGAACAAGTGAATTTAAACCTGAAGACAAGAGTCATTTACTGAAAGGTATGCAGGCCTGCCAGTTATCCATTTGTGAACTGATTAAAGAGAACTATTATATGTTTATTTCTTATCTTGTTGACTTCATTCTTCTATAATGTATAAATATAGCTGTAAGCAAACAATGTCCACCATGTACTGTGTTCTGTGAGTAACCATTAAGCTCACTGGTAAATGGGTTGCTGATGGTACAAAAATTTTTTAGTAAAGATTGATCTCAAACAATGTACAGTATTATTTTCCCATTTTGAATAGAACACTGTAAATTCTTATCATACAGCTTTATAGCATGCAGTACAGCACTGTCAAGTATGTATATTGGGTCAGTGTTGTTTTATGGTCTATACAGTGAAGGCTTAAGCACCTGAAACACTCCACTTTCTCCAGTTATCCCTATTGAAGGTAACCCAAATACTGTACAAGATTTCTTCCTTCTCTATTTACTGTACTTTCAACATTTATTTTTCTCACATTAACTAGTAATTGTCACCTAGGACAGTACTGTATACAAATTTTTAAAGCATGCACACCTTTTTTATCAAGTTTTCTTCTAAATCGTCCACTTGAGCGGTGTCATCTGCAAACAAAAGCTAATTTACCTCCCATTTACATCTGTACCATTATTCACTACCATAAATTTCTAAACATTTGCACAGAAATATTTCTTCTCTCATTGGCAAGACTTGTGGCCCTTTGTAGGTGGAGTACTACCGTATGTCAGTTGCCTCTATATTCAGCACACGTTACATTTAAATTGCTATCCTTTGATACATGGTGAGCTACGAAATGTTATGAATGGCACTCTCTCGTGGCAATGCTTCCAGTCGCCATTCCATAAAATCTGCCAGTCTTCGAAAAGGCATTCAAAGAGAAGTAAGTTTGGCTGAACCACATCACACAATCCCAAGCTGCAAAGAAGTATCATGGCAGAACTTGGGTAAAGAATTAGCTCGACAATAAACAGTCTCACAATGACGGGCCTCTCCCTCATTAGTGCAATGGATGAAAGCTTTATAATTCTTCACAGGTTCACATGCTGCCTCTATAACAAAGCCTCCGACCTGGAAAAAGTCAATCTCCTACTGGAAAAATTGTTCTGCCACAAGTCTCAAAGAGTGGAGTGCCCCACCAACAGCAGATGTTCTACTCCTCCATCTGAACAGACCCCTATATCAAGTCTTCATCTGGACCAAAGGTAACACTCCTCTATTGAAAATGTCATCTCGAGAAGATTACGGATGGAAGAAAGATTCAAACATCTCCTCGGCAGTGTAGTTGTAAAAACTAATGTAGCTCCTGCACCTACAGGAAGTCTGCACTCATCTGTACACTTGCTTCTGCAATAAATGATGACTAAAATCTCATGAACGCCTAGGCCCGAATTCAGAACTCTGGTTTGAAACCACATGAAGGTTTAAACCAAGGATCGAGCAAAGATTGAAGATTGTTGGTATTCAGAACGCTGTCTTGAGCCAACACAAAGATTCAAACCGGGTTTGAGATCGGATTTGTCGATCCCCGTGTTAATCCAGCCTGGAGGCAAGTTTAGCGGCCAATCCAACATTCAATATAGTAAGTCAACATGAATTTTGACACACAGCGTGCTTTTTGGCGATATTGTCAAACTGTAAATTTTGTAGAGAGAAGACTGATGCTCCTCTAAGAGTAAGCAAACCTAGCGGTCACGTGATTGACCTTATGACCCCGTGTGTATGACCAGGTGATAGGGTGGGTTGCACGTGCCTTAGAGTGTGGCTCTGCTTTATTATAAAGATCATTTTGACAACAGAATCAACCTTTTAGATCATCAGTAGTTTTAGGGCTGTTTTTAGCATCCGATCTTGATACCCTGATTGACCTTGACCTTGAAACCTTTACTTTTTAAAGCAAACATTCAGTCACTGGACCTCATCATTACTAACGAGGAGAGTATGGTGGTCAAGCTGGAACACCTAGTCCCTGTTGGGACCAGCCACCGCAACGTTGTCCTTCAGATATAACTGTTACTCGGTTCATGACAAAACCAGGCCAGGTTCAAATATTACAATGGAAATTACGACGAGATGAGGAGTAACCACTAGCCTGACTCACAAAGGTATAAGAACGCAGACTCTACGCTGAATATCATAGCTATTAAAGTTGGCAAATACTGGGCATGCAGCACCGGCTGCTGAATGTACCTGAACCTGCTCCAGTGTTGGTCAAGTCTGGTCTTGAAAGAGCTCACACTAGGTGCCGTCACAACACTATTTCGCAGATTGTTCCAAGAGTTCACAACTCTCACTCCGAAAAAGTTTTCCCTCACAGTTTTCTGGACTTGCGACTTCTTCAACCTTGAGCTATGACCCGTTATAGTACACCCTTCTTTCCCCACACAACCAAACTGTGGAATGCTCTGCCTTCTTCTGTGTTTCCATACTCACACAAGCTGTCTCACTTTAAAAAGCTGGTTTTCCGGCATCTTCGTGGTGTAGATTAATATGGCCTTTTTCTTTATATTTTTAATTTATTTTTACTCTTATCTTTTCGCCCCCTAGGCCCGTTGTGGGTCGATGACCTGCGCCCGGGTAAGCTATTCCCCGTAAAAGAAAAAAAATGAGTTTTGGTATTTTGTATTGTTTGGGAAGCAAAACGCTCTTTTGACAATAACCCATTAGGAGTGAAGTACTACATCAAATTAACAAATAGTGGGCTCTTTTGATCGTTTCCCAATTACTTTAATTGCTTATCGCATTTATATTTGTGGCTTAATAATTATTTTGCTTACATCCTTCATCATGAGTAAATGCAGGCGACCTGAAGCGTGAAAAACACGCCCGTGTGAACACGTGCCTGCTAGAACAACCCACACGCGTAATATTACCCTGGAAGGACAAAACCGGTCCTTCCCTTGGCATGTCTACCTCTAACAGGTGGTCATTCGGTAAATTAGGTGAATATACCTGACGGGTGAAGCCAAGATTGTACCTTGGGTGAAGCAACATGTATTAGTATCATACTGATAGCGTAAACAATACTGGTTATTATAGGTCTGGAAGTGATGATAAGAACTTTACCTAAATTGCGAAGCATGCAACAGTTACTCTTTATGAATCATACATTTTGTAGTTGCATACCTAACGGCTACTTGACACCTTCTATGTGGATCAGTTTGTTGAGGGTAGTAGGAACGACACCCACATCAAGCGTCTGGCAGCGTCGTCAGGATCTCCGGTTTGTGTTATAAACTGCGACGCTCAATGTGAGGGAGCGAGCAGTGAGGGGAAGCTGTGCATCAGTAGACGTTGAGTGTACAAGGTGGCGCGTATAAATATTTAGCCTCTGTTATTAATCACTACGTTACCAAGGTTAGTAGGATTGTTTAACAGCAATGTTTTCTACACTAAATCACTATGATTTTTTGGATCGTAAATTTCACGAATCAAGAGGTCATGATTTCATCTGCAATGTCAAGAGTGTTTTTCACACTAGATTAGGCTATACAATCGAGTCAGTAATTATCTTGGTTACATTATTGCCGTTGTATATACGGGTTTCATCTCGTAGTTATAAATCTTGTTATCTACACTTATAATTATTTTCTACAACACTCCAATTGTTGTGCATTTGTTATTGTCAACACTAACGTATACTTCAGAATAATGTCCAATCTACACCAGTGTGATCTACATTCTTTAGCGTAGAATTGTAGTTCAATCATGTTGTCTACACTAGTCTTATTGTCTGCTTCAGTCCTGTCTACATTCTACTGTATTTGTCTACACCACTCTTGTTTACTCAAAGGTTGCTGTCTACATCAGCCAAAGCCTGAACTAATCATGTTGCCTGTATCAGATTTGTCTACAACAATGTTATTGTCTCTATGTCATAGTGTCTACTTGTCTTGTTTATGCCAGTCTTGCTGTATACTGTACACCCATCTTATCTGAGCTATAGGGGTTTGGTGTAAATGGGACGACGTACCTAGTATGGGCCAATAGGACAGCTACAGTTTCCTCCATTCTTATGTTCTTATCTAACCCAATCTTGCTGTTTCCGTCTCGTTTACATCAGTACAGTATTGTTGTGCTCAAGTGTTGTCTACTAATCTTGTCTACGTCAGTGTTGTCTCTTCAGTCTCCAACTTTAATTGTGTTGCTTCCATTAATTTCGTCTACACCTGTATTTTTAATGTCAGTTTTATTGTCAACACTTGTGAAGCCTTAATCAAAAAAGTTCAAAATACTAAATATCATAGGTATGAGGCTTCAATCACCAACAACTAACATTTATGTGACGAAATAACCCAATCAGGTGTTAGTCATTAATCAGAACAGGTGTGAAGCAATGATCAACAGGGATTAAGATATAACCAACGCAGGTTTGAAGTAACAATAAGTCAGAACATGAAGCAACAACCGATATAAAGCAGAGGTCATAATGAACAGTCAGGGGCGGAACCAGGAATATCAAAAGAGGAGGAGGATCTTCGAGGTTGTGGGTGGGGGGAACATGGCGAGCACAGCGAACCCACCCAGCTGATATCAATAGTAATTACTTTTTACCCTACAAAAATTTCTGAGTACAAGACTAAATTTAAGAAAAAGTATTGGAATTCTCTGGATGAAAACGAAGGTCCGGGCCCCCTGGTGTGCCTCTCGAGACGGGCGGATGAACTGACACTAAACAGTCATTATATACTGTATCAGATTGCTAATTAAAACAGGCATGATTTCAGAGTATCTTCTGGAATGAAATGTCCGAATTTGTGTTTTTCACTTAGAGGGAACATGGAAGAAAGGAGAGGAAGGGTCTTGCTGGAGACATAATTTCGTGCCAGCTCGATGATACAAGAAATATTCTCCCGGACAGGTGTAATGTCACCCGCGTCACGTGGTTTTGTATTACCAGTCTTGCGTTTTACGTAAAAATAACACACTGCCGTTGTTAGAGGTCTTGCACATTTTTATCAACTTAGCGATTCCAACTAGTCAGCAGGACTTTAATAAATTCATCGGTGAACAAAGGTTATAATACACGTGGAACCTCAGCGATTCCAGAGATCAGAAATTCTTAACACATGTGAAGTCATACAGTACCACTTTGGTTTTGTCAGGCGAAGAACAAATGAATCGCAGACTACAGAATAACATACGTCACTTCTTACACTCCCCATAGGTAGTCTAGTTACAGGTAATTTACAGGAATTTATCATTTTAAGTGAGGGCGAATAGTACTGTACTTCTCCGTATTAATACAAGTGTTCCCCTGCTGAACCATCACTCAGCTGCTCACTTTAGATGATACTGTCCTGCTACCGCCCCTCCACTCCCTTCAAGTCATCACTCAACCTTTTGGTTAACGCGTCATTTACAGCCGTACTCGTCCTTGTCCCCAGCACCCACTCAACCATCGCTCGTTGCTACTGACGGTGAGCTATGGTGTGTACCTCATGGTTCCTACTGGTGATTTAATATATTCACACTTATTACAGTATATTAGTTTAAAAATAGCAGGTGGGGCAACACAGTAATCCTGATCGTGTCCTCGTAGGTGAAGGGTGTGGTGGATATACAGAATTGAGACCGACTATATCTAGTATTTCCAATTACGTTTTATTAGATTTGTTTGGAATAGTTGCGAAAAAGCCGGCGTTTGCGCGAAATTAATTACATGAGAATGTTAGGACGTCAATGAAGAAGGGTGGACAGGAGGCCGCGGGAAGTGGGCAGCTACCCAGGGGCCTCCACAATCTGGGGGCCTCCACATATCAGGGCTGGTCGACTTGAAACCACATGAATGACTCCAGTCATGTCTCACTTTTGTGTGTGTGTGTGTGTGTGTGTTGGGAATTTGTACACTATCAATAAATATACAGTTAATTAAAAATTTCTCAATGTTCTAATTTCCTCAATATAACTGCATATGGCTTCAAAGTTCTCCAAAGAAGTGTTCAAATTTCAAAAATTTCCCGGGGGGGTTACAGCGCCCCCCGGAACTCCCAGATGTTTAGGCTCGCTTCACTCGCCACCCCACCCTCTTGGGTAGTTATAATGAGGGGGGGCCTCCACAAAGAGGCTGCCCATGGGCCTCCACAGGTCTAAATCCGGCACTGCTCTAGAGGTTATTTAAAATTGTTCATAACGCTTCTTGCAAACATGCCAATATGAGGTGTTGACAAACTTTTGATAATTCGCCCCTTATCCTTCTATAGTAATATAAACTAGACAACTGGAAACGTCCCTAGTAAATGGTGTGTGTGTGTGTACGCGCACCAGTTTGAACGTTCGCAATAAATGGGCCACCAGGCAAATACATACTTCTAAATTTGTTTGATATCATGTAACAAAATTTCATTGCTTTTATTTTATCGCCCTAACTTTCATTACTAGGACCATCAAGTGAAGTTTTCTGAAATATTACAAAATACTTTATCAACAAGGCAATAGCTAGTGGCAACATTAGCATTCATTGGTAAAACAAAAAAAGTATGAAAAGTCATATGAACTGAATTTTCAAATATCTAGTGTGTCCAGGGTAATTGAATTAATGTTGCAATATTTACATTTTATGTCATATCAGTTGTCATGCATCATACCCTGGGTTGCGACACTCGCTGGCCAATATTAAAATATAACGAACTGATATGACGGGTTTTTAATTAAATCTTGATTTGGTAATACGTTTAACAATTTTAAAATTAAAAAAGTTGCTCAATTAATTTATAAATGACACTACCTATGTAGGTTATAAATCTTAAATACAAAGGATTATATTATTATTTTTTCTTACCCTATGGACCAGGACACTGTTTATAATACGGAAAATACTGTATCATGATAAGCAAATGGAAATCACGAGGGAACCAGTGCAATCTGTTCCAATTACATTCCAGTGGCCTCTTAAGCCGCCCCCTGAACACTGCCAGACAGACAGACAACTACACACCAGAATTCACAAATGCCTTTATTAAGTGGACAACTACAGTAGTTTAATAGACTGTGAGAGGTAAACATGCAGTGTGGGCGAGACATCAAGAGGAGCTGTGGTGGTGATAGTGGTTTCCAAAGCTGCCTCAGTGCCTACGTTCAATACTGCGGTGGCATGGCAGGTAGCTGGTCTCTCCACCCCGCGCCACCTGTCCTACACCACACACCCTCCAAACTACCTGTCCATCCATCTCCCCTCAATGAACCACCTGTCTCACCACACTATATCCAGTCCCGTCACTACTAATTATCCCGTCACACCCCCACAGTACTGTCACACGTCCACCAGGCATTATTCTGTAACGCTACCCACTGCCCTGCCACACCTTTGCCTTTCACCCCCTGCCCGCTTATACCCCCTGTCTTGCCACCACCACCCCTCTGCCTTACACCCTTTACACCCTGCACAATACTTTAGCCCCCGCCTTTGCCTACCACACCCACACCTTGGCTCACACCACCTGCCTGCCACACCACCACCTTACACCACTGTCCCACACACCACCCTGTTACACACCCTGCCTTACACCTGCCACACCTCTGCCTACACCACCTGTCCTGCCACACCTTTGCCCACACACCAGTCCTGCCACATTCTACCTTACACCTGTCCTACCTGTCTTGTACCACCTTGCATCATCTGTTGTACCCCACCACCATACTGATTAACTTCTCTTCTCACACACACACACACACACACACACACACACACACACACACACACACACACACACACACAACACAGGATAAGGTATAAAACAGAACACCGTTGTAAAGTGCACAGTGAATACGTTTTTATTTGTATTTGGTATACCAGCATACTGTACAGTATATTGAATATGCTTTACTGGCATGTTTTTACATCCCCGGGTAAACTGTGTGTGGGGGGTGCTAGGTGTGCGTGGGTGGTGCTGGTGCTGTGGTGTGTGTATGTGTGGGGTATGCTGAGTGTGTGTGTTTGTGTGGTGTGGGATTGTATGTGCTTTGTGTGTGGTGGTGTGTTTGTGTGGGGGTGTGCTGGATGTGTTTGTGTGCTGGTGCAGATGGGTGGTGCTGGAGTGTGTGTTTGTGTGGGGTGGTGCTGAGGTGTGTGTTTGTGTGGGGTGGTGCTGGGTGTGTGTTTGTGTGGGGTGGTGCTGGGTTTGTGTTTGTGTGGGGGTGGTGCTGGGTGTGTGTTGTGTATGTGTGGTGGTGCTGAGTGTGTGTTTGTGTGGGGTGGTGCTGGGTGTGTGTTTGTGTGTGTGTGGTGCTGAGTGTGTGTTTGTGTGGGGAGTGGTGCTGGGTGTGCTGGTGCTGGGTGTGTGTGTTTGTGTGGGGGTGGTGCTGGGTGTGGTTTGTGTGGTGCTGAGTGTGTTTTGTGTGTGTGTTGTGTGTGGTGC